TACATAAATCTAAATGTATTCATCCGAGTGCTTTAACGGATTTTTATTTTATTTTTGCAATTGCTGGTTTCCTTCTGAGGTTGATATTCATTACACAATTATTATTCTTATCATGGATCAAAACTTTTCACTAGGTGTTCACTTCTTTTCACTCCATTCTTTCCCTCTAAATAAATATTATTCTTAAGATTACGAAGTTTGTAATTAAAACAATAACTTGTGTTACACTTAAATTAAATTCTCAGACCCGTTTTATCTTCACTATGCATATATGACTCATACATATTGATATTTTATTATCCTTTTCATTTAATTGTAACTTTCATAGCATCACTCTAAACTATGACTGCACAAACATTTATTCTAGCGTCATATCTTACTGCAATTATAAGTTATTTTTTCTTAATTATTTTTTGTTACTAATTTAACGATACACACAGTCGTTTATTCTTGTTCTGTGTTCGTAAACACGCCTATTAGACTGTTTGCGTATTTCACGTCTCCTTTATTTCTATTCCCTTATTTTCTGCATTTCCTTCTTTAGACTCAATTCAATATTCTCAATTGCACAGACCCGATTTATTATTATTATTCTACTATTATTGCTCAAATTTTTTTAAATGGCAAGTAGAATGCTGACATTATTGAAAATTGTGTATTATTGCATTTTTTTGAAGAAACCCGAAATGGTTTCTTCACAACACTTATGTACCCATAAGATGTTTGTGAATAATAATAATAATAATTAAGGCCTGTTGAATAGTTCCTAGAAGTGTTCCACTCATCTGTTCCTCTGTTCGTGAATCTCAGAGATTGTCTTGCCTTCTTTATTCATGACCAGTCTTTTTGGCTTACTATATATTTGTCTGCCAGTTTGTTAGTTGTCATATAATCGTCTTTTGGTGGCACTGGGCCCTAACCACACAATCCTCAAAGCTGAACAAGAGACATTTGGGAAAATGGATGTTCAGCATTTAACGCGGAGGAAAACTCAACGATGAGGAAGGCGGGAACAATGAATGGAATTAATTCGAATTGAGAGGATGACGTGGCTCAGCCTGGCAGGCGCGGTCACTCTCTACAACTTGCTTTTACTCATATTAAATATATTGTTCTATCTTCAGCCTGAATGTGTTCTCCATCATCCATTGGTCAGTGTATACAATGATGTGACTTCCACGTAAGATCCTTAAGATTAGGCAGTTACATCATAACAAATCTACAATTATGCGAATAAACCTATCATTACTTACTTGCCCGTGATACTCCTAATAGAGCATAGGCCACCGACCAGCATTCTCCAACCCACTCTGTCCTGGGCCCTCCTTTCTACTTCTATCCAATTTTTGTTCATTTTTCTCACGCCTGTCTTCACTTTTCGACGTAATGTGTTCTTTTGTCTTCCTCTTTTCCTTTGGTCTTGGGGATTCCATGTGAGGGCTTGTCTTGTGACACAGATGGGTGCTCTTCTCAATGTGTGTCCTATCCACTTCCAGAGCTTCTTCCTGATCTCTTCCTCCGCTGGGATCTGGTTTGTTCTCTCCAACAGTAGGTTGTTGCTCATAGTGTCTGGCCATGGGATCCGAAGTATTTTGCATAGACAACTATCAATAAACACTTGTTTCCTCTAGGTGATGGCTTCCGTAGTTCTCCAACTTTCCGCCCCATACAGTAGAACTGTATTGACATTTGTGTTGGAAATTCTGACTTTGGTATTGGTTGACAGTTGCTTTGAGTTCCAGATGTTCTTCAGTTGTAAATATGCTACTGTTGCTTTGCCTATCCGCGCCTTCAAATCTGCATCAGATCCACCGTGTTCATCAATGATGCTGTCCAGACATGTAAACGTTTTTACATCCTCGAAATCTTCTCCGTCAATTGTGATTGGATTGTTGCATGCTGTGCTGTATCGGAGAATCTTGCTTTTCCCTTTGTGTATGTTAAGATTTACTGTTGCTGAGACTGCTGCTACACTGGTCGTCTTGTGCATTTGTTGTTGCTTGTGCGACAGAAGAGCCAGATCATATAAGATATCTATATCGTCCAACTGCATCCTAGCTGTCCACTGTATCCCATGCTTCCTTTCAGATGTTGACGTCTCCATGATCCAGTCGATCACCAAGAGCCTGTGTCTTGAAATTCTCTGTTCTTGTTCGATTGTTGTTAATTTCCGTCGTCTCATTTCTCTTTTTTCGAATCCAAAATAGGGTTTCCGTAGAGATGCATTCCTTATGATGATGCATCTTGCGACCCAGGACCTCCTGACACGTTGAAGTCTGTGTTTCTCTGATCCGTTTCCTGTCGTTTCTTATTGTAGTTTTTTGTTTGAGTAGATCTTGTAAAGCTTGGAACTTGTTGTTGAGAGCTATGTTGAATTGGTCCGGTTTATCTGTATGTGGAAGGAAGTGTTAATAGAAACTTTGTTGTGCTGTTTTCCCAGTTGTCCATTGTTTCTGTAGCTTCAGTTTGATCTTTGCAACCACCAGTTGGTGGTGATCTGAAGCAATGTGAGCAAAGACTGAATGGTTATCTGGACGTCATTCTTCATATCGCCCACTCAACGTTCCCCTCTGTTTTAAACTATGGACAATCCTGTAATATCTTTTCTTCCCGCCATTGCCTGCCTAATTTCCACTTTTCGAGTTCCGTTGCCAAGCCACAAGGACAATACTTCGGAAACGTACGGTGAGTTTAAACTATAACTTTCTGCAATCATAAGGCCATTTCGGATGATTATACACTGACAGCTGTATAATTATTCAGACTCATCGGATTGTTCTGAATCAAACGAGTGACAAGAAGGTCAACAGTACCAAGAACCCTGGAATTAATCGCAATACTGCGTGTTGAGGTTTTCGCTGCGTTTAATGTTGAATGTCTATTTTCCTGGTTGTCTCGTGTTCAGCTTTGAGGACTGTGTGACTAGGGTACAATGCCATTTCATGATCATTCTGTATAACTTGTTTTTATTCACTTTAAAATATCATTCTACCTTTCCCAAATGTATTCTTTGGAAACTTCATGCATTAAATTTCTGATTGTTACGTAACGATGAGTCGGAATATACAGTGATGTGATCCCATAAGTTAGGTAGTCAAATCATGATAAATCCGCAGTTTTATGATTATTTCCGTTTTCGTAGTGATACCAATGACGATTTGGACCATAATTCCACTTCGACTTTTTAAATCCTTTGTGAAATCGGGTTCGCTCGGCACTACCAAATTCTTCAGAATTAACGGAAGCTTTGTTGACGATTCTGATACTATTTCTGAACAATTCACCCAGCATTTCTCGCGATGCTGAAGTACTGAAGCCGAAACCTTTGTCAATACCTTTCCATTGGTGACGTCTAGACATAAATTCGAAGTTGAATTTAAATCCATCAACATCAACCAGACTATAACTTCTCTGAAAAAGCCCTATGACGATGAATGTGATGGGATTCCTGTGTCATTCGTAAAATATGGTGGTAAAAGATTTCCGATATTCTATTTAAAACTGTTCAACTTGTCTTTGGATTGCGGACACTATCCATATGTTTGGAAAACATCGCTTATCACCTTTAGATTCAAAACAGGATTACGTACTGATATTTTAACCGTATGTTCATTAACTTGACATCCACGCAATCAAGAACCATGGTAAAAATCATCCACAAATGGCTATTGTCATTTCTATTTCAAGCTAGCCTGATTGGCCCTGTCCAACATGGATTTATGACTAAACGTTCATGCTTCACATCGTACCTGGAATTTTTCTATCAAATTACCAGAGGACAGATGTTGGTCCATCAGTGATAATTCTGTACTGCAACTTTAGTAAAACTTTCGACAGTGTTTCACACAAATTTCTTCTAAATCGTTCTTTATTTGTTGAACGGGATCCCCTTTAATCCTGGTTTAAATCATTTCTGGAAGAACGTAGCCGAATCGTCCGCTTTGAATCTTGCTACTCTAAGCCTGCGAATATAACCATTGGGGTTATACAAGTAAGTGTGATTAGTCCATCGCTCACTTTTTTTTACCGATGACGTGTGTTCACTCTTTCAATACGGTGAATCACTCCTTTTTGCCGGTGACCTAAAATGGTTTATGCATTCCCTACTTCCACTAGCGGTAATCTAAAAAGACAAACAAGTTTTACGAATGGGCTGTGTCGTCTGATTCATCGCTGAATGTTGATAAAAGTAGATTTATATACGATGGCCGCATATCTAACCCAAATCTGACTATACACAGACATATACTGAAACCTCTCACAGTATCCGTTATAATGTTGCATACAAGGTGTATCTACCGGTTTCTTTTTCTTAACTAACTGAAAGCAGCAGAAAAGGAAACAATAAATTTTCTCAACTGCTGGCTATTTGTTTTGTACACAAACACAGTGACTGGCAACACCGAACTTAACACCGGCCATTCACAAACTAACTTCTATACTTCTGTCGATATTTGACCATTAATCAACTGAAGTGGACTCTTCTGATATGTTTAATTATGATTCACACTCGAAAATTTGTTTCACTCCGAATACTCTTAGGTATTTTTGTTAGCCACCAGACCTTTTATTCACTGGCCGTACTGAACTGTCTATCGTTCTAGAAAATGAGACACCAAGAAAAGCTATTTTATTATCATTCACCAGTTAGCTGGTAAATTTAATAACTGGATGAACGTTATCGCAAAAGTTCAAAAGCTTTCGTCTGTTGATACTTTTTTCACACACGATTAGTGTGTCACCTATGTATCCACAGTAATAATCTGACTTATTTAGGATATTATTATCATTCACAAACAGCTTATGGGCACTTGATTGTTATGAGGAAACAATTTCAGATCGCCCCTAAAGTCTGGTATCGTCTTTTTCAAAGATATGCCTTGAACAACACTCAAATGTATCCTCAGTTTTTTTGGAAAAATAGTTTTTTTTCCCAATCTGGTTAATTGAACTCTTTAGGGCGGTAGAATCAGAATCCATTTTAGCGGCAGGTTGGATTAGTTGCCTTTGCTTTTCTTTAACATGTATGGGAATTCTGATTTCATTTTGTTCCATTCTATATTTTTGTGAATCTACGGAGTTTTTCATCCGTGTGGGTTCTCGAGAACCCTTTAATCCGTGTTGGACGTTTATTTCGAGGGAATTCCCTCGTAAGTGACATTTTCTTGAGTATTGTTATTAGAAAACTGGGTAATCGCACCATCAATCTCACTTACAGTGATATCCCTACCAAAGTATTGAGATGTTCCACAACAAGTAAAGTGCAGGCATGCATTGTTATCGTACTTGTTAATTATGTGGTTCACGTTTTCGTGTCATAGTTTTATTTTAAGATTTTCATTTGCTGGGAAATAGTTATTACGTCTTGAACAAACGGTCACTTGGGAGCCTCATGCAAGTATTTTGTAGTGCTTTGCTGAAATATTTGGAATTTGTAGTCAGTAGATATATTTTTGCGTAAATTGACGTTAAGAGTTTATTTTTGTCTTTTTTTGCTAAAACATTTTCAAGATTCCTCAAACAAAACAGCGGAGAAGATGAGCGGTAGATGAATTTGTGTTATGTAATAATCAGGGTATGTTTAGTGAAATGTAGCGTCTATGAGTAGGGCTGTATGTCTTGGATGTGGTGAAATGATTTACTAGCAATCAAAAGGGACTGCAGGTCACGATTACTAAAGATAACTCAAATCCATGGATACATTTCAAATTTTTTGACCTTGTCATAAAGTCTATCGACTAAATGCTTTAATAAAAGGGGTTTTGTCAGCATAACGAAGAATAACTTAAATATAGATATAGGAAGAATTTTGACTGGTAGATTGGACTATGTGGGAGACGTGAAATTTTATATGGTGAACTAATAGAGTGATTAAGACTAGAGAATTTTCAACCTGAAAGGATTCAGCGACGCGTTATGATTCAATAACTACTTCTGTATTTCCGACCAGTATTTTTAGTCTGTTCTTCGTTGCTAAACAGTGATAGTTTGTCTTCATTTAGGAGATTTGTGGCATAGTTAGGTAGAGGAGTGCCGTCTTTGATTTTGGTTAGTGACTAATTATTGGCAGTATTAATTGTTGAATCCACCAGTAATTACCCGATTCCATAAGTCTTTTCTTACCACTGTATTGTATTAAACGTTTAAAAAAATCTTTTCACATAGATGTCCGCCTTTCGAAGAATAGGTAAAAGGCTTGTTTTGGTTGGAGCAATATCTGGCGTCGGTGCTGCATTTTTATTGGAATTTGTCCCCAGAGTTAATGAAGCAAGAAGGACGAAGGTGAAGTACTTATAACAGTAATGATTAATATTTACCATTAATTAATTACTAAACAAATCATTGCTTGTACTGACATGTTAGTGTTTGTTTAGAAACGAACTTGGGTGTTCATTAGTATGAAAATTCAATGTGTTTATGTATAGATCACCGTGTAGTAGCCGATATCATGTTTTGTTTTTTCTTAAGTATCAATATAATCCTTTTGATCAACTTTAGATAACTCATCACACTGACTGTTTCGAAGTGAAATGACTGGAGTCAAGTGACTGTAAGATATTAGTATAATTTTCTTACTAGTTGGTGTTCATGATTCGTTTGTGCTTCAAGGCAATAATTCCTAACTCCGAGCTCGATAGCAGTGGGCGAGAGTGCTTCTTATTCTCTTCTCTGTCCGCTAACTATAGATTGGAGTACAAGCCTTCCCAAATGATTTGTAGAAAGAAACTAAGAACATTAAAATTATTCAAATACGTTCATTTATGTACAAGTTTAATTTCAATTGATTACTAGTTGAAGAATTTGTCAAACTAAACAGATATCACAGAAATAATGCAGTCGGTCATTAAATCGAGTCAATATCAACTTGACAAAAATAGCACTGGGTTAATTGATGCAAAAAGTGCTTTGAAAGCCAATTGAATGAAAATTACTTCGCATCAATGACCCATCAGAAAGATTTACCTGCAGTTCTCAGTAACTGACACTCCTTGTGCAATGGGAACCCGCATCACTGTATTTATTTTTGTTTATTTAAACGCAAACATTGGTATGAGGAGGCACCAAATGTATATGCGCCACACTTCGTCATTCGATTTGTGTAAGGGCTGGGATACTGCCCGGGCGCGCAAACCAAGTGGGTGGTCCTCTTAGGAGGCCACTCTCCAAACCTTTGACTTGGAGGTCTAATCTATAGGGCAGTGGAGCAACGTAAGGAGATGCGTCTTAATGGACGTAGGAAAGACGCTGCAAGTAAACCTCTTAGGGCCCTACTTAATGATAGTCAAGCTAAGAGTATATTTCAGGAACAACTAGGAATAGAGTTAGGCAGCCATGTATGTGATGCCCACCCCGAGGCAGCATGGAATGATATCCGAAAAGCTGTGGAAACAGCAGTGATATCTGCTAGTACGGTAAACCGTAAGGTTAGGGAGCAACACTGGATCTCAGCAACATCTATCGCACTGATAGATGCTCGGAAACTCATTCCACCTGGCTCTGAACATATTGAAGAGCGGAGTCAGCTTAAGCGCAAGCTGACAAGAAGTCTACGCAATGATCGTGAACAGTGGTGGGTAGCGAAAGCAAGAAAGATGGAAAAGACTGCGGCAATAAGTAATAGCAGACAATTGTTCAGACTTGTTAAGGAAACCGGAATTAGGAACCCGACCGTTAGCGAAACAATCTCAGAGAAAGATGGATATATTATTCATTCTCAATACAGGAGATTGGATCGATGGGAAGAACGAGATATCCGTCTATCAACCAAAGAACGTGTTTACTGCGCAGCAGTTCTTTCCGTCCTACTTTATGGCAGTGAAACATGGCCGGTAAGAGTAGAGGATATTCGTAGGTTACTAGTATTTGATCATAGGTGTCTTCGAAATATTGCTTGTATATCATGGGACCATCGAGTAAGTAATGCAGTTGTTAGGAAACGGGTACTAGGTAAGGATGGCAAATCAATTGATGTCGTAGTGAAACTTCATCAGTTGAGATGGCTTGGACACGTGTTACGTATGCCCAACGACCGACTGCCTCGAAATGCGATGTTCAGTGGTATAGGAGTAGGTTGGAAGAAAGCTAGAGGCGGCCAAACCAAAACATGGCACAAGTCCATGAAGTTACTGACAAGTGGTCTGTGTCATGTCGGTAGGTGTAGACTACCTGGTTGGGGACCGCGAGATGATAGCAACCGATGGTTAGAGACCCTGAATGACATGGCTCAAAATCGTTTGCAATGGCGCAGGTGCATACACTCTTTGTGTTCTCCCAAATTCTGATCTCCTTATTCCTCCTTGTCTCCTTTTTTTCTCCTTTCAAATTTATTTCACTGTATTATACTCTTTAAGTAACATCTCCAAACACTAATCTTCCCGATTACTGCTTATACTCTTATTACCTCTACCACTACGGGATTTGAATCGACCACTGCATCTCTATGCTAATGTGGTGTGGCAACTCGAACTGATGTACGTACGTACGAAGTTCTACGTTGTTACTGACTGACTGACTGACTGACTGTAAGGAGATGCAGTCTCATAGTAGCCGGTGACCAACAATAAGTTCATACGCTATTTGTTTGCTCAGAATCCTGGAGCCCATGTGACCATTCGTTTGGAATCAGGGTTTTCCAACCCTCCTAGATGGGTCCTCCGGAACCCATTGACCCGGTTAAAGCACCGGACATTCGCTTTTCGTCCTCTTAATTTCGTAAATAACAACCCCGCCGCGAGAAGGTGGTGAATAGGACTTGCGTGGCTATGTGAGAGGATTTCGAGAGGGAGAGCGGACTCTCTCCACCTTCGACCGTATCATGGTATTTGGGGGGCATATATTCCATATTATCACTAATATTATTAGGCTACACCTGACCTCATCATCTTGCACCAAAATATAGTGGCTGTAATGCTGAGTCAGTTATACCAATGACCATATTGTACGTAATTTTGTGTATAATTTGATCAACACTAAGAACATGCTACTAATTACCATTCACTGATTTAATTTAGTCGCTTGTTGCCATTATTCATTAATAGTTAACACTGTCAAGAATAATTGATGTGATTTTCTCTTAATATTTAATTTAACGTGAATTTGGGCTTACATAATAATCTGTCATACATTCCGTTGAAACAATTTTATTTGAACTTATTTCGAAATGTTTAATTCATTGATAAATGTTTTATCTTGACACGTATTGTTTCCTCTGTTATCGTCACAATTTGAGCTTTCTGAAAACCTAAGATCGTGTAGACAATTTTATTCTCTACATCATCAAACGTAAACTCGTGTTTTTGATGTGTCTGCAAAGTCATATCGCAACACTTTATTGAGACTTATTTTTTAAACTTCTGATATGTTACCACGAGTTTAGAAACGCATTTTATTTTTGGTTCAATTAGTTACTCACCTGAAATCTAAATACTGTAAACTATTTAGGGAACGTGTGGAAAAATGACTACAAAAGGACGATGGATGTGATAGGTTTATTCCTGGTTATGTCTTCTAACTCCTCAATTCACTTCTAAATGTTCTATTCTTCAAGCCTGATCAGTATAGGATTTTAGTTTTGGTCAAAGCTTGTTATAAGCTTTTTGGTAACTGTGTATTTTGACTTTCAAATAAAGCAGAAATGTATGAAATCTGTTAATGTGATTTTAGGCAATTATGCCTCACTTTTTGTTTATTATCATTGCATCTTCATTTTAAGTGTTCATAACATCATGTTAAACTGTATAGCTTAGTGTTCCTGATATTATATACTTGCCAAGTTTGTAATCAAAACTAGCAAATAAGTAGATCACTCATTTGAAAAAAATTTAACGCAATTAACAATTTATAATTCACTATTCTGGAAAAATCAAACACGTGAATAGAAACAAGCCGGAGCTTGTCATAATAATTTAGCTGTTGATTCTATCATACTTTTACTCACCAGTCGTTTATTATACTGATATTCTACGCCATTACTGTCTATCTAACCTATAGTTCATATATATATTCGGAGGCGCTAAAAATGTTTGCGACTCTGGAAACAATCAGACTCCAGTTCTCAGTGATCGTCGATGATGGTATTAGTTAAATCACACTTCTTTACAGACGCTTTTCAAGAGAATAAGTATTACATCTTTTTCATTCTGAACTTTTGGCCTTTCCCGTGGGTAACCAGAAATATTTAATGCTTTTTGTTTTTGATAGTCTGTTTATTTCCTTAAAACACAGTTTTAAAAAATAAACGAACCAATTCAGCGACTGATCATGCTTCATCATAGCTTCTTATCTGCTATTTCACTATTGGTTTCGCCTTTTTATGTAACCAAGCAATCACTAGTCACATTGTTCAATAAGCTTATATTCTCATCACTACATCTAATACTTACAGGCTTTACTGTCGAGACTTAAACCTTCAGAACAGGAGTTCAAACGTTTTGAGCGACCCTTGCCGACTAGAGATGAACATCTCAAAAGAATGGCATCAGGTGAACTTTTCGATGTCTTAGTAATTGGTGGTGGGGCAAGTGGTGCTGGTGTTGCGTTAGATGCTGCATCTAGAGGTAGGTTGAAAAAGTGAATAATTTCAACTATGCGCCCAAATTCTTGTCATCACATTTATTGTCATAAACAAACATAATTCTTTCTCCTGAGGTTTACTTTTACTTATTCGAGGTACTAAGAGAATTCCTAAATCCTACACTGTTTAGATGACCGGTTAAATTTGTTGCATCAATAAATACTTTCAAATTTAGCTATCTAAATCTTCAAAAATTTGGGTAGGGTCTTCTAATTAATAGAAACCAGTAATTTAAGAATTTAAGTAAAGCGGCTGAAGGCTGGTAGCAGAAGCATTTATGCAATGTGTTTTATCATACTGCAAGTTTCAAATATGCTACTGTGTTCTTATATGGCTTCATATTACTTCGTTATTCCCTTTTTTGTAGTGACATGTTTCCCATTATTATTGTTAGTATTTTCGACTCAGCCTTATGATTTTTAAATATGACTAATTGAATCAACACACCATTTTCATTTCGTTGTAGGTCTTTGTCGTCAGTCAATAATAGCTGTTTATTTGACCCTGTTTTTGTCGTTAAACCGGTTTCAGTATCACCGTTTAATGATGAGTTTTAATTAAATACTTTGGTTAAACCCTGTGTATCTCTAACATTAAATGTTTAGTTTCATGATGTAGTATTAGTTATTTGTATTTTTAATACAATGGTATTTGATTAATCCAGTGGATTCCTTGTGAAATATCAAATAATGATGTTTGGAGATGATTGCGTACAGAAGCTGAAATATCGAACAGACAAAATACTAACAATGTTATAATCTTATACTTGAGTACTTATGTAATTAGCAAATTGAGAGAAAAGCATATCTACTAATAATGGAAGAGAATTAGTGAGAATAATTAATTACTTTCGGTTTCTTCCAGTAAGTTATGCTTAAGATCTATCGTTTGAATGGTATTCAGTTAGTTTTTTGCCTTATAATGGGTGATACCTATTCATCTCAAGAATAATGCTTATTCTTCAGTTATATAAAACTGTGGTAAACATTTATTGCACGGCCATTTTTGTATTTTTTTTTCGAGTAAAATTTTTTTCATCCCTTTGGAAAAAATTTTTCATCCCCATCTTCCAATAATTTTCATTCTGTTTCGTCCAATCAAATAACTAGTTTTGAGTTCGTTATAATTGGTCGTTTATTTCTTGAAATCGATATAAAATATCAGGATATGACGACAGAGCACATTTTCTTACAATTATGGACGGTGGTAACATGCAAAACACGAGCTCTGTCGTTCCTCACGTTGTCACAGAAACCGATAACCTGTTCGTTCTTGAGCACATTGTATCTCGTAGCGTCTTAATCACTTGACGAGCGCCATAAGAACTTATGAAACAGCTGCGTACTGCCATTATGTGGTGAGGGATTCTCATTTACATAGAGATCGAAAGCCGTATATTAAATGGTCGTAGAACATCTAGCGGTTCTTCACAGCCGAGTAGACGAACGAGGTAATTTGATTAGTGTTATTATAATTTTTCATTAAGGACTACCGTGAACACTCCATGTCCTTCCTTCGTATTTTGTAAGTTACTAACTGTCAAAATAATGTCGATATGGATGCAACGTTGAGCAATGCCGAGGAAGAAATTGTTTTAATTAACTCAGAGGAGTTCACAGAACGAGACGACGACAATGACGAAAACGCGTATGACAACAGACTTTGTGATATTTGCAATCTTGCGCAACCGCCACATGAAACTGCTGATGGAATGCCTGGATTTTTTGTCCATGCGAAGCAATGTTTCATTTATTTTGTGCCTACGGCCCATCACCACACGTCCATGGAATCCACTGTACCATGTGCGACACTATAACGGGATCATGGCAACTTTTTTGTCCATGAAATTCGGAACTGTTAAGAGAACGAGTAAAGGCCCTTTTCAGGGCCACCCACAATTTGATTCAAATTCTTTTGTTTCAATTTCTTATTTCCATGGCAAAGGTCAATTGATGAAGCTATCAAAATTCATTTAAGATTGGTAATCATTATGTGATTATCGTCCATGTATTCGTAAACGCTTTTTGAGCTTTATCAGATATATGGTTTAAGTAAACGATTTCGTATAGGAAATGTCATCTAACGAACACTAAACTGTCTAACAATAGTACATGCAAAATTTATTCAGAATGTTTCAGTGTTTTGTCATATTTTTAGTTACGTTAGGCGAACGTAGTACTACCAGTTCACTAGTACAACGACATCATTTCTATAGGAAAGGTCAACTGAAAGATTTTTTCAAAAGGGATGAAAAAAAATTTCACTCGAAAAAAATATACAAAAATGGCCGTGCAGTAAATGTTTACCCTATTTTTAAATCTTAAAGATATAGATTATCTAATTGTCTCAAGTAGTGGCTTAGTGTTTGTGTTTAAATTTTAGCTTTTAAGTCCCGAACTCCGCTTCATCCATTTCACAAAGAGGACGATTTTTTCACACATGTTGGAATAGTAAATCGAATGTCAGCGGTTCAAATTAAAGACTTTATGAGGACCAGTTCAAATCATCATTACGTACCTGTAGTTTACAATCTAAAAAATTGCTGATATTCCTACACGACTGATACGTCGTCGTGATCGGGACCCGATGTCAACACTGAAGGAAGTTTCTGAAGAGTATCAACGATTAACAAACCTCAAACACGACACCAATCTAGTTCATTGCGCTGGTCAAAATAGGTTTGACGGTCAAGCAGTTCCAAGTAAAATTTTCGCAAAAGGTTTGGGGCATTATACTACAATGAAAGTAAATCTTCACCTGAAAATAAAACGCTAATCCATTGGGGTTTCCCCATCGCCAATTGTTGTGTCCTGCTGTTAGAGTTCAGTACGGCCTATGGTGTTGTGGATTTAGGAACGAAAACGATTGAGCTTCTCTAATACTATCGGTTCTTTTCGGAACTGACAACAGTCAATTATACTCAACATATGAAACCTCGACGGCTAAGACAGAAAGAGGACAGAATTACAGGTAAATTGATATATGTGGTAGAACTCAAACGAAATCGGTACGGAATTGTTACTATAATAGCAGAATATGATCTTCGAGCATGTAGTAATTTAGCGAACTAAAAAAACAAGATGACCAATCAGAGAGCAAAGGTTATGCGGAAAATCGAATTGGTAGAAAGTGTGCGAGCGGTTATCGTCCCAGAAGAGATCCTAGCCCTTCTAATAAAACATGACTACTCTTGCTACCCCTTTGACACAAATTCGTCTACATTTTTGTTTGAATCGATCGTAAAAACTGCTTAATTCTTTTTTTACACATATATTTAAATTTTCTGCATAGGTAAGTGGGAAATAAAAAAGATCACTATTCTTTCAATTCATTTATGGTTAGATGAATAAATAAATGTTTATGCTTCCCTCATATAAACACCTTCAATCAATTATTGTTTTGTAAATACTAATTTTCTCTTCGTTCTTTTTTTGCCTAAAGGTTTATCAACATGCCTTATTGAAAGATTGGATTTTGCTTCGGGTACCTCCTCTCGTTCAACCAAACTTATTCATGGTGGTGTTCGATACCTACAAAAGGCTATATTTAATTTGGACATTGAACAGTTTCGTATGGTTAATGAGGCACTTAGTGAACGGTCTAATCTAATCGATATTGCTCCACATCTAGCCTATCCATTGCCAATCATGTTGCCCATATATAAGTAGGTTTATATAGATTTTTGTCATTTAAGACTAACTAAAATTGGAGATTTAAACCATTGATTACCAACACAGGGTTTCAGATGTAACATGCTCGTTTCCAAATTCGAATATATTGAGTTTGAGACATGACAAGGTCGTGGGTACGCACTGTTGTGAAGTCTCGTTTTAGGATGAAATGGCTATTCATTGTAGGTAATATTCATCACGGATTGATCACAGTTGGGGTACGTTAAAAAACGAAGGGTATTGGACAGCTATTTTATTCCACCATTGGACTCCTCGGTAATGCAAACCCACAACCAAGAGTTCCAACTAAACGAACACCTTTGCACAAACTTCTTTTGTACACATGGGTTCAGTTCGCTGAGATGGTTGTCAATGCTTTCAGCCGTATGCAATGAGCGTATTGGTTGAGCATAGAGCAAACTAGATAGATCATTTAGAAGTCTGTATTCAACTTAATTTTCACAATTATTATAAATATAAGTGATAGATCTAACAAAAAATGCCATCACAGACATTGTAATTTGAACTACTCGTTTCTTCTCATTCTCACTCAACACAGCTGTTGGTATTCATAGTGATCCTGGAATTCAATACTAACCATGCAGTTTACTTATTAAAAAAATTCACTTTTAACGTTGTCATTGTTTTTATTGTCAATTCTGTAGATGGTGGCAGGTTCCGTATTATTGGGCTGGTATTAAAATGTACGACTTAATATCTGGTGCTCAAATACTAAAAGCCAGTTATTATCTTAATAAATCACAGGCATTAGAACGATTTCCTTTATTGAAACGTGATAAACTAGTCGGTGGGTTAGTATATTATGATGGTAAGTTAGTTTCTAGAATGCCTTATTTAATGCTGCGTTATCCTTCCACAGATATACATCTTTCAGGTTGTTTTATAGTTTTATTGTATTTGTTGGATTTTGCCTCTTAAAATCATAAACAATGTTCATCATTGAGATCTATCAGGTTTGGATTTGTCAAATATATGCTCTTTAAAAGAAATGTAAATCATCCATCCATTCTTTTTATTGTTATATACCATTATGCTCCTGGGTAAATTTTATCTATGGTTTGCTTTACAACGATTGGTTTTTTTAAAGGTTATTTTTCATCACGAATTAACTTCACCCATAGATCCAATAAAATGAAGGAGGACTTTACTACAATTTCGTCCTAGTTTGTTACTTTTTGCCAATAAGCTCCCATGATTACGCAAAAAATTTAGATCCGGATCTAACGGGTATCGCGCTAAGTGAAATGCTGTTAGCATTAGTTGATCGTCAGTCTGTACCATAAACTGACTGGATTTGAAATTGCACCACTTGATGCAAACCAAGTGATCCTCGTGGTTATGCATTTGCCGTTAGATTTGAGGTTCTTAGAGTAGATCACTGGTGGAGTTGTGAGTGCCCATCGACATAAAGACATATACTAGGACGAAACAGCTGTCTATTATTTTTGGTTTCTGGTGGTACCCAATCTCATATCAATCTGTGATGACTGCTGCTTGCAAATTAAGTCAATCTCCACAATCTCCTTCAAATAAAAATAGTTTACTCTCTTAATCCTGATTCGGTTGATTAAAAAAGTCGCGGTTTCCTATTGTAGAATTTCGAAAAGTCTATCTCGACAATTTTTTTATAGTATGGATATGGTTAACTTAAATAAGTTTTTAGCGGAAACTGTTTAAGTTTAACTAATCTTTGCTAAGAGTTTGTTTTAGATTTTACACATATAAATGATTGATTACCCTGAAAAGTAATTATAAGTATTGGTCGTGCATTATACGCCGACGCTGGGACCGGTTGGGAAAAGCGGACAGGTCGGTCAGTGCACGATATGTGGTATGAAAGAAAGCTGTACAGTGCTGACTTCTATTGGTCCTTCATGACTCCCTGATTGAGATCCTAGATGTGGTGCAACACAGTGGTAGATACGTTATCAGACGGCTCAGAATCAAAACCAGTGCGCGATCCGGCTGTAACTTTCTTTTAATTTTATAAAAGTGAACGTAGCTTCTTTAGCTGAAGGAATTCTTTGTGGTTATATTTTTGCTAAGTGAAATGTTTCCCCCATTATTCTTTATTTATTTATTTACTATTTCACTCTCATACACTAATTTCTATTTGTTGTTGTGCTTTTTATTATATGCACTTTACATTTTCTATCTATTTCAAAACCCATCTGACTGGTCACATTCACTCATTGTCCCAATATATAAGAGAGGGTCAAAATCATCCTGTGACAACCATAGAGGGATTAGTTTAACTAATATAATATCTAAAATACTAGCTTCGATAATTATCAGACGCCTAACTAAGACTCGTGAACTGCAAACACGACAGACTCAAGCTGGCTTCAGACCTGGTCGTGGCTGCATCGACCACATATTCACCATTCGTCAGGTTCTAGAACACAGGCATACTTATCGGCGTCCGACAATGGTGGTCTTTCTCGACTTAAAAGCAGCATTTGACTCGGTAGACCGCGAGATTCTGTGGCAGTGTCTGTCATTGAAAGGCGTACCCCAGAAGTACATAAACCTTGTAAAGGCTCTTTACTCGAACACTACTAGTCGAGTCAGAGCTTATGGTGAACTGTCATCTGATTTTGCAACCTCAAGTGGTGTTCTTTAAGGTTGTCCACTCTCTCCAATTTTGTCCAACTTCATCATAGACATACTTATGGAAACAACATTCTCGTCGACTGAATTTTCGGGCATTGATCTTCTAGGAGGTCGACTTATAATACGCAGATGACATAGTCCTGTTTGGTGAAGACACTAATAAAATGCAGAGTCTTCTGGTAGCACTAAGCAACAATGCCAGAATGTTTGGAATGCGCTTCTCTCCCTCTAAATGCAAGTTGTTGCTTCACGACTGGTCCGCGTTAACACCTGAACTAAGGATAGGGAGTGAAGTAGTGGAACGCGTTGACAACTTCACTTATCTTGGAAGTCTGATCAGCCCTAATGGGTTGGTGTCTGACGAAATCTCAGCACGGATTCGAAAAGCTCGTTTGGCTTTTGCCAACTTACGTCACCTGTGGCGAAGGCGAGATATCCGTCTATCAATAAAAGGACGAATATACTGCGCGGCAGTCCGTTCTGTTTTACTTTACGGCAGCGAAACATGGTCTTTAAGAGTAGAAGACACTCGTAAGCTACTAGTATTTGACCACAGATGCCTTAGAAATATTGCTGGCATCTGCTGGGATCACCGGGTAAGTAATAGTGAGGTCCGACGCAGGGTATTAGGAAATGATGGTAAATCAGTTGATGAGGTTGTGAATCTTCATCGAGTGAGATGGTTGGGCCACATGTTACGTATACCCGAACACCGATTACCACGACGTGCAATGCTAACCGGTGTTGGAGATGCTTGGAAGAAAGTTAGGTGCGGCCAAACCAAAACGTGGCATCAGTGCTTGAAGTCACTAACTTGTAGTCTGAGCCATGTTGGTAGATGCAGACTATTTGGTTGGGGTCCGCGTGACTATCGTAACCAATGGTTGGAGACTGTGTTGACATGGCTCAGAATCGATTACAGTGGCGTCGGTATATTCACTCTCTGTCTTCCCTTAAACTAAGAAATTAAAATCACTTCATATCTTTCTTTCTACGAACTAATTCTTTCTTCCTGTACTATATCCTTATATGCAATCTTTTTTTCATATATTACCACCATTGAATTAACTACTTTTATGAATCCGGTGTTCATCTTGTTGTGTTAATGAGGTATGGCAACTTGGACCGATGCACATATGTGCCTGGTCCTACGTTGTAGCTGACTGACTGACTCATTGATATTGTGCGGCTCATATGTATTTGGCGCCCCCTTGTACCAATGTTTATGTGTTCAAATAGCTAGTAATAATAATATTGCCAGTCTAGGACGAACATAGTTTTTCTAGTACTCTTTGATTGTAAACAATCCTTTAGCAGACATCAGTTCGTGATGAATTTTTATCAGCTTTACATTCTGCAAAATCATCTTAACTATTTCTGTTCATGATCCGAGAAACATTTTTGTGCTACGTGGTTGAAAGTAATTCACAAAAAACCCTTGACCTAGGTTTCTTGCTGTTTGGCACCCGTAAGATGCACCTGTAACCCTAAAGGAACTAACGTCTAACAGATTCAATCCCCTGTCATCCGACTTCATAGTCAGAGAGGTTAGAACTAAGCTACTCAGGCCTCAACTGTGATGTATTGCACGCAATATGAGTCAGTTTGAATAGTGATCACATTTGAACTTGACCGATGGAATTCAGTCAGCACTAAGAAGTGCTTAACAAACATAACATTAGTCACTACTCAATGACCAATTAATTGTAAATAAAAGCTGTTCTTTTTGTGGCATTTTTAATTGCAAAATCTTGATTTGGTTAATTATTATCATAGTGCTAATTGTTTTTAATCCACTTATTCTATCATTTATTTGATCAGTGTTAACATTATTCGGTTTAGATTCAGATGCCCTTCAAATCGTACTTGTAAGTAGTGGATATATTGCATATATTCTACGGTAAGAAAACAACAGTGTGTTTTTACCACTCAGTAGTTGTTGTACATCTACATACTTCACTACTAATTAAGGAATCTCGCTATTATCAAAATAACTTTAACATAAATATTGGCTGAGCACAATGGGTATATCTTTAGCATTGTTCTATGAAAAACAAAACAGATTTGGTCAAACCTTATACTAATGATTATTAATTTTAAAGTCAACATTTACTACATATTTAGGTTACATTCATTACAAATTGATCTTAGTTCGTTTACCATTAGAAACCAGGGGCAATAGACAGCTGTTTCGTCCTAATTTGGGACTTCTCAACAGTGTGAAGCTATAACCACACGAGATAGGGAATTCGGTACCCTTCTGTCTGTAGGAGAACGCCTTGGCGAATTCAATTAATTTGCAATATACTGCGGCGATCATTCAGTGTTGTTAGTAAAACCTATTTCACTTCCTATCTGTCTGAATACCACCAGTCATGATTTCATATTACATATCTTGATAAAAAATAAAAGTACATGATTGTTTATGATTTCAACAATTATGGGTCATTATTTACATTATTTATGAGGATAATATTTTAAGTGATACAATTCTCAGTTTATTGAAATGAGGTTGTATTGGAAATTTGATATTTTATAGATTAATTAGGTTTTTGAATTTTACGATAGAGTAAATTCTTTAATTAACACAAAACTATAGTTATTTCAAGTTGAAATGAGCAATAACATTGAAAAATCAGTCCAGATACATTTTTCTTAGTGTTCGATTACATAACAGTGTTTATCGGTACTACTAATCAAATTACTTATATTTTTTGACTATAGTAAACTCATTCTGTGTGTGACATTTTTGAATCTAGATTAATCTACTACTTGTTTTGAATATTACTAAAAATCACAATGTTCTATTCTTGTTTCATAAACGCTTATCTCAGTGTTGAGGCTCTCTTTCTTCTTTTACTATTATTTAGTTTATATGTACTTGTTTAAATCAGAACTTAGTCAAATATATTTACAATATTTTCGTTTTTACTATTTTTTTAGTAATTAATACTAAATTATTGCACTGATACTTACTTACTTACTTACTTACTCCTCGTGAAGGAGCATAGGCCACTCACCAGCATTCTCCATCCAACCCTGTCCTGGGCAATCCTTTCTAGCTCCGTCCAGTTGTAATTCATCCTTTTCATATCTGCTTCTATTATCCGACGCAATGTGTTCTTTGGCCTTCCTCTTTTTCGCTTCCCTTCAGGGTTCCAAGTTAGGGCTTGCCTCGTGATGCAGTTTGACGATTTGCGTAATGTATGTCCTATCCATTTCCATCGTCTTTTCCTAATTTCTTCTTCAGCTGGAAGTTGGTTTGTTCTCTCCCACAGAAGGCTATTGCTGATGGTATCCGGCCAGTGGATGTTGAGTATCTTGCGTAGGCAGCTATTTATAAATACTTGTACTTTCTTGATTGTGGTTGTTGTAGTTCTCCAAGTTTCAGCTCCATACAGTAGAACTGCCTTGACGTTCGTATTGAAGATTCTCACTTTGATATTGGTTGAAAGTTGTTTTGAGTTCCATATGTTCTTCAATTGTAGGAATGCGACCCTTGCTTTGCCGATCCTCGCCTTTACGTCTGCATCTGAACCTCCTTGTTCATCGATGATGCTTCCTAGGTATGTGAAGGACTCTACATCTTCCAGAGTTTCGCCATCAAGAGTGATTGGATTGCTGTTTTCCGCTTTGAATTTGAGGACCTTGGTTTTCCCTTTGTGTATGCTGAGGCCTACTGATGCAGAGACTGCTGCTACACTGGCTGTCTTCATCTGCATCTGTTCGTGTGTACGTGATAGGAGGGCTAGGTCGTCTGCGAAGTCCAAATCGTCTAATTGATTCTGAGCTGTCCATTGTATTCCGTGTTTTCCTTCAGATGTTGAGGTCTTCATAATCCAGTCGACCACCAGAAGAAAGAGGAAGGGAGAGAGTAAACAGCCTTGTCTGACTCCAGTCCTTACTTGGAATGCATCTGTCAGCTGTCCTCCATGCACTACTTTGCACTGTAGTCCGTCGTATGAGTTCCGGATAATGTTGACAATCTTCTCAGGAACTCCGTAGTGTCGAAGAAGTTTCCATAATGTCCTCCTATCTACACTGTCGAATGCCTTTTCATAATCAATGAAGTTGATGTATAGTGATGAGTTCCACTCAACTGATTGTTCGACGATGATCCGTAGTGTTGCAATTTGGTCTGTGCACGACCGATCCTTACGGAATCCAGCTTGTTGATCTCGAAGTTGGGCGTCTACTGCATCCTTCATCCGGTTCAGCAACACTCTGTTGAAGACTTTCCCTGGTATTGACAGTAGTGTAATGCCTCTGTAGTTTTCACATTTGCTCAGATCTCCTTTCTTTGGAATCTTGACGAGGTGTCCTTCTTTCCAGTCCATCGGCACTTGTTCCTCCTCCCAAATCTTTTTGAATAGAAGGTAAGCATGCTTGTGGTTGCTTCGATGTCTGATTTCAGTGCTTCAGCTGGTATGTTGTCGGGTCCTGCTGCTTTCCCGTTCTTGATTTGTCTGACGGCCATTCTAATTTCTTCCGTCGTTGGTGGGTTGACATCTATAGGAAGATCTATGTGTGCTGCTTCGATGTCCGGTGGATTCATTGGAGCCGGCCTATTCAGGAGTTCCTCGAAGTATTCTACCCATCTGTTACGCTGTTGTTGAATTTCGGTGATTGGCTTGCCTTCTTTGTCTTTGACCGGCCTCTCTGGTTTACTGTATTTCCCTGCTAGTTTCTTCGTTGTATCGTGAAGCTGTTTCATATTTCCTTCTCTAGCAGCTTTTTCTGCCGTCGTTGCTAGTTCTTCCACGTATTTCTTCTTGTCGGCTCTAATGCTCCTTCACTTGTTTGTTTGCTTCTATGTATTCAGCTTGTGCTTGGACTTTCTCTGCTCGTGTTCGGCTGTTGTTAATTGCTGCCTTCTTGTTCTTCCTTTCTTTGATCTTGTCCAGTGTTTCTATAGAGATCCATTCCTTATGATGGTGTTTCTTTAGGCCCAGAACCTCTTGACACGTTGAAGTTAATGCTTCCTTGATGCCTTTCCAGTTGTCCTCCATAGTAGTTTCTTCTTCTTTCAGTAGATCTTGTAAGGCTTGGAACCTGTTGTTGAGAGCTATCTTGAATTCATTGAGTTTGTCAGTATCTCGAAGGAAGGCTGTATTGAACCTTTGTAGTGCTGTTTGTCCACTTGTCCAGTTCTTTTTTAGCTTCAGTTTTAAATTGGCTACAACTAGGTGGTGATCTGAAGCTACGTCAGCACCTCTCCTGGTTCTCACATCTTCCATTGTCCTTCGGAATTTTTTGTTGATGCAAATATGATCTATTTGGTTCTCTGTAGTGTGGTCCGGTGAGATCCATGTAGCCTTGTGTATACGCTTGTGTGGAAATATTGTGCCTCCTATGACCAATTTGTTGAATGCACATAGATTTGCAAATCTTTCTCCATTTTCGTTTCTTTCTCCCAGTCCATGTCGTCCCATAATATCTTCATATCCAGTGTTGTCTATTCCGACTTTGGCATTTAGATCTCCCATCAGAATAGTTAGGTCCTTTCTTGGGCATTTCTCAATGATTGACTGCAGCCGCTCGTAGAACTGATCTTTAATGTCGTCGTTGCTATCATTGGTGGGTGCATAACATTGGATAATATTCATTAAGATCCCCTCCTTCTTTGTTTTGAATGATGCTTTGATGATTCTGGATCCGTGAGACTCCCATCCTACAAGTGCATTTCGTGCTACTTTGGACAGCATAAGAGCGACTCCCTGAGTGTGTGGAGCATTGTCCTCTTCGTGACCGGAGTATAGCAGCATCTCTCCCGTAGCTAGCCTTTTCTGTCCAGCTTGGGTCCAGTGGGTTTCGCTGATTCCCAGTACTGCTAAGTTGTATCTCCTCATTTCCATTGCTATTTGACTGGTCTTCCCGGTTTCCCACATTGTTCGAACGTTCCATGTACCTATAAAAATTTTTGCTCTGGTTGTTAGAAGGGGCATCGGCCTCGTGGCTTCCGAAGGAACTCGGCTTTCACCATGAAGCGTCATAATTCTTCTAACTGAAGACCTTCTAACTCCCAGGGCAGAGTTTAAATGGTTTGGATTATTTTTTCTGGTAAGCGTTTTTTTAGCGAGTTAGTTTTCTACGGGATGGGGACGCTAACCCCATGCCCAACCCTCCTCCTTTACCCGGGCTTGGGACCGGCAGTAACCCTGTTAGAGCTACAGGCGGAGTTTGTTTATGTCGAGAAAGGTAATTATTTGATCCAACATATTATTACATCAACATCCAACTACCCATCTAAATAATTGCATATTTTCTTTTTTGCTCATTCACAACATTTATTTTCTCTTAAGATCCAGCTTCTGATTTTCTTTTCCTTTTAAACTTCTCTTTTTCTCATTAACCTAGGCCAACAAGAGGATGCTCGTATGTGCTTAAGTATTGCATTAACTGCGGCTCGTTATAATGCTGCGATTGCTAATTATGTTGAAGCTGTTGAAATAATTAAACAACCATCTCGAACTAAATCAATTTCATTGAAATCAACATTGGAAACAACATCTGAACCAGTACCTACAGTATCAGGTGCACGAGTTCGAGATAGATTAACTGGTAAAGAATTCACAATCAATGCTCGTTGTGTGATTAATGCAACTGGACCATTTACAGATAGTATACGACAAATGGATGATAAAGAACAACCTACTATTTGTCAACCCAGTTTAGGTGTTCACATTATTCTTCCTGGTTATTATAGGTAATGACAATTTTATTTTGGGATAATAATAATAATAATCCATTTTGTACTGTTTGTTTGAATCTTCCCATTGATATTTAGGACTGAAATTAATCAGTTTCTTATTGGCATATTTGCATCCTGTGCGGATTGCCTTGATAGTGACTTAAGTCAAAGGCATTATAAACAAAGATGGATGGTGACTAGCAGTGAAATCCAGGAGACGATTTTCGTCCTATATGGGACCACACTGCACAAGTTAGTGGCTATCAGGACTCAGTAGATAAATGAATAACGTGATGGCGTTTGAAGCGAACGATATTAGGTTCAAGTCCTAGAGTGAACATCAACTCTGGGATGCAGGTAAATTCAGCTGACGAGTCCCGAATAAGATGAGACGCGCGTCCTGGATTCCACTGCTAGCCATCGTCCATCTTTGCTAATAATAATACTTATAACAGTAATATTCGTAATAATTTATTTTGATGCTTCATGCTATTACATAATAAATCAGTCTCTGATAATAACTGATTGGTAGTGTTTTCGTATGTATTTATTATTATGCTAGTGTTGTGACATGCCTGTTCATGTCCAAATTAAGAAATGCCTATATTCTTTCTAATAAATTACACATCCTATATTGTTTGCTTTGATGAAACGAACAGTAAATCACAAACGTTTCACATAGTTTTCACTATTATTTATAACTTTCTAATCATTTATTCGATCTCTCTTTTGTTTTTGATGTTATAAATTTTTAATATAATCCCTACTTTTTATTCCTTTATGCAACGATTCATTTCATTGATACGAAAGTTTTCTTCAGGTTTGAGATTATTTGAATTTATCTGTTAATTTTGTAAGTACTGTTTTTGATTTATGATGTTAAAGTTTCCCAAACAGTTGAAAAATGTCATATAGATTTTTAGTTATTATTACTTTATTGTAGCTTTTTACATATAAATAATAAAAACCGAAATCGATCTTGGCTTGTTTGAAGTGAGTTATTTGAGTCATTTCAATCTAATAGGAAACTTGAATGCAAAGTTAAATAGGTTCATTCTTATTTTCTATTTTTTTAAAATTTATTAACTGAAATGTATTCTGTGTAAGTAGGATTTGTAATGAGATTTTTAATTTAACCAGAAGTTAGTATTACTACTCTCCATTTGGTGTAGTTCACTTTTCTCATTATTGCGGCCAGTCAAACATTGACAGTTTAGGACTTGGAACAACTGTGTATTGACTCAAGTTACCACATCTCTGATCAGTGTGGCAAGAAGAAATTAATAAGATGAAAAAAAAGAGGGTGAAAATTTTAATAATATATTTTATATTCACATTTACAAATGACTGCACCTGGAGAATAAAACATACATACTGAGATGAAAACCTTAGTAATTCATTTATAAACTTTCGGTTTTCATGTGGAAACTGCATATTGGTTATAATCGTATTGCTTTTTTAACCATAAATTATTTCTTAACCAAATAGTGTTTTCATGAACGTCGATACACTTTACTTTCAATCATTTTTTTAAAAAGAGAAATGAATTATCATTTCAACTTACGATTATCTTAAAATTTTCTCGTCCAACTAATTTTCAATGATCATTTTTGCTATTCACTTTTTTTAAAATTACACTCCTACCATTGAATGTCATATGATCAATCACTGTCATGTGTCACGTGTATAACGTCGATAACTTTAGTTCTGATAAATAACACTTTCAGAATAGTAGGTAGATGTATGTTGAGGGGAAAATAAATATCTGGCATTTATTGAACCAGAATCAATATCATGTGTCTCGGATGAAATTGGATCATATGACTATGAAGTTCATTGGTAGAAATAATTATTGTCCTTTATACACAGAATTTCGTCCTATCAGCTAATTGCATTATTTTTCTCTTTTGAAATATCGTACTTTTATTACTAGTAGTATGGTGTTATTAATATTAATAAGGAATTTTATTACTTTCATTAATTCAATCATTAAATTCACAGACTTATGAACTGGAACATTGAATTTGTAACTTCTCAGTCACTAGCTTCTTCATGCAAAAATACTGCTTTTCTACAGTCAAGCAAATTTTGTATAAAGTAGTAAAGATGTTTTTTTACGACAAATTATCAACAACTAACATGGGAAATGCAATCGTCAGCTGTACTGATAGGATAGGCTTTTTAATAAGTTGAGTAGGAAAATCGATGAGACTATAATTCATGAACGAACTAATGAAACTAAGGGTACCAACTCTTTAATTTCTGTGCAAAATTCATTCATTCGTACAGTTACAATCGCATTTCGGTATTATAGCTGATATCAGCTCGTAATTATTCGTCGGGTCACGTATCACGCATGTTCAACCACGGACTATCACGGCTCGCCATGTTCACTAGTATTGAAGACAGATGGAAGAAAGGTAAGGGCAGCCAATAAACTTGATATTATTCCATAAAGTCACTAACTTCTGGTTTGAGCCATGTTGGTAGATGTAGACTACTTGGTTGGGGTATGCGCAACTATTGTAACCAATAATTAGAGACTCTGGGTGACATGGTTCAGAATCGATCACAATGGCGTAGGTGTATATACTCTCTGTCTTTCCTTAAACCGTAAGATTAAAATTACTTCATAACTTTCTTCCTACGAACCACTTCTTTCTATATGCATTATATCCTTATATGCAATCTTTCTTTTATATATAACCACTACTGAAGTAACTATTTCTATGAATTTGGTGATCATCTTCAGTCAGTCAGTAACAACGTAGAACTTCGTACGTACGTACATCAGTTCGAGTTGCCACACCACATTAGCACAGAGATGCAGTTGTCGATTCAAATCCCGTAGTGGTAGAGGTAATAAGAGTATAAGCAGTAATCGGGAAGATTAGGGTTTGGAGATGTTATTTAAAGAGTATAATCCAGTGAAATAAATTTGGAAAGAGGAAAAAAGGGACATGAAGGATTCAGAAGATTAGAATTTGGGAGAACACAGAGAGTGGATGCACCTGCGCCATTGCAAACGATTTTGAGCCATGTCATTCAGGGTCTCTAACCATCGGTTGCTATCATCTCGCGGTCCCCAACCAGGTAGTCTACACCTACCAACATGACTCAGTTCACTTGTCAGTGACTTCATGGACTTGTGCCATGTTTTGGTTTGGCCGCCCCTAGCTTTCTTCCAACCTACTCCTATACCACTGAACATAGCACGTCGAGGCAGTCGGTCGTTGGGCATACGTAACACGTGTCCCAGCCATCTCAACTGATGAAGTTTCACTACTTCATCAATTGATTTGCCATCCTTACCTAGTACCCGTTTCCTAACAACTGTATACTTACTCGATGGTCCCATGATATACGAGCAATATTTCGAAGACACCTATGATCAAATACTAGTAACCTACGAATATCCTCTACTCTTACCGGCCATGTTTCACTGCCATAAAGTAGGACGGAACGAACTGCTGCGCAGTAAACACGTCCTTTGGTTGATAGACGGATATCTCGCCTACGCCATAAATGACGCAAGTTGGCAAAAGCTAGTCGAGCCTTCTGTATCCGTGCTGAGATTTCGTCACACACCAGACCACAAGGGCTGATGAGACTTCCAAGATAAGTGAAGCGGTCGACACACTCAACTACTTCACTCCCTATCACTAGTTCGGGTGTCGATGTAACCCAATCCTGAAGCAACATTTTGCATTTCGAGGGAGAGAATCGCATCCCGAACATGCTTGCATTGTTGCTTAGAGTGGTCAGAAGACTCTGCATTTTGTCAGCGTCTTCACCAAATAAAACTATGTCATCAGCATATTCTAAGTCAACAAGTGAACCTCCCGGTAGAAGTTCAACCCCTGGAAATTTAGATGAGGAGAGTGTTATCTCTAAAAGTACGTCGACCACAAAGTTGAACAAGAATGGGGAGAGTGGACAGCCCTGACGAACACCACTTGAGGTAATCAATTCTGATGACAGTTCGCCATAAGCTCTCACTCTACCAGTTGTGTTCGAGTAGAGAGCCTTTATAAGGTTAATGTACTTCTTTGGTACTCCTTTCAGTGACAAACACTGCCATAGAACCTCACGATCAACAGAGTCGAATGCCGCCTTAAGGTCGAGAAATACTACCATTGTGGGGCGTCTGAATGTGTGTCTGTGTTCTAGAACCTGACGTAGTGTGAATATCTGATCTATACAACCACGTCCAGGTCGAAAACCAGCCTGGTTTTCTCTAGTCTGCTCTTCACGAGCTTTAGTTAGGCGTCGAAGTATTATTGAAGCTAATATTTTAGACACTATATTAGTCAAACTGATTCCTCTGTGATTGTCACAAGAGGACTTTTGTCCTTTCTTATAGACTGGCACAATCAGTGATTGAGACCAGTCAGATGGGATTACGTCCAGTTCCCAAATTCTACCTAAGACCTCAGTTAATCTCATTGCTAATACTGGACCACCATCCTTAAAAATCTCAGGAGTAAACCTGTCAGGGCCTGCTGCTCTCCCTCGTTTCAGATTTCCTATGGCTTTTTCAACTTCGTAAAGGGACGGAGGACCTACATTAACTTGCCATTCAGGTTGACTGGAGATCGTGGGAAACCGAAGTGTGGCTGAAGGCCAGTTGAACTGATCCCTAAAGTGTTCTGCCCATCGATCCAATCTCCTGGATTGAGAATGAATAATATGTCCATCTTTCTCTGAGATTGTTTCGCTAACGGTCGGGTTCCTAATTCCGGTTTCCTTAACGAGTCTGAACAATTGTCTGCTATTACCTATTGCCGCTGCCTTTTCCATCTCTCTTGCTTTCGCTACCCACCACTGTTCGCGATCATTGCGTAGACTTCTTGTCAGCTTGCGCTTAAGCTGACTCCGCTCTTCATTATGTTCAGAGCCAGGTGGAATGAGTTTCCGAGCATCTATCAGTGCGATAGATGCTGCTGAGATCCAGTGTTGCTCCCTAACCTTCTGGTTTACCTTACTAGCAGATATCACTGCTGTTTCCACAGCTTTTCGGATATCATTCCATGCTGCATCGGGGTGGGCATCACATACATGGCTGCCTAACTGTTTTCCTAGTTGTTCCTGAAATATACTCTTAGCTTGACTATCATTAAGTAGGCCCTAAGAGGTTTCCTTGCAGCGTCTTTCCTACGTCCAGTAAGACGCAAGCAAATACGCGCTCGCACTAGAGCATGATCTGAATCTAGGCATGTGCTCCAGAATGAGCGACAGTCTTCTATCGAGCCCCTCCATCGGTGGCTGATAGCGATGTGATCTATTTGGGTCCAACGTTGGGACGAATTAGGGGGTCGCCATGTTAAAAGATGTTTTTCCTTATGCTTAAAGTTAGTATTTGCAAGGAACAGGCGGTTATCTGAGCATAGCTGCAACAGACGGTCGCCATTATCTGTTCTTTGAGCCACGACACCATAAGATCCACCTAGGTGTCTTTCCTATCGCTAAGTTTACCTACTTGAGCATTAAAGTCACCGGCCACTATTACTACATCCGAGCGCTTAGCTTTTCGGAGAAGGTCCGAAAGCTTTCTGTAAAACTCATCTTTTACATCATCTGAGCTGCAGTCAGTGGGAGAATAGGCAGAGACGACGAAGAGGCAACGACGAGTGTCCCTATCTTTCCGGATTGCTCTAGCGGTGATCATCTTGCTGTGCTAATGAGGTGTGACAACTTATTTATTTATTTATTTATTTCAACACATATATATTGGTACAAAGAGGCACCAAATACATATGCGCCACACAGATCTCATTAGATTTGTGTGAGGGCTGTGATACTGCCCGGGTGCCCAAACTTGGTTCGATGCATATATATGCCTGGTCCTACGTTGCAGATGACTGGTGACTGGTGGACTCAGTTCGTAATAAAAACTCTTACTTTAGTTCCTAACCCTAAATAATCACTAAATCCCGATCTCAATTCCTCATACTAACCTTCCTTTGACCCTAGTATGTCTTATGGTCACTATAGCATTGCTCAGAGGTCGTCCATAAACTATAGTTTCTCCGAGAAATCACTGCATCTCTCAGTTCTACAGAATAATATTTTCCAAATATCCTTCAATTTTGTGTATGGGTTTTTCTCACTAAGACTTAATGTTGAATGAATAATTGGTGTATATTACAAACAACTGAATATATTTCTATAGAATAGATGGATTGTAGGTAGCAGTGGAATCCCAAATGTGCATTTCATCTTTATCACAACTCGTCAGCTGGATATATCTGCGTCCCAGTGTTAATATTCACATCAGGGCTCGAATACCTTACGTTTTGCTCTGAACTCTAACGCGTTTTCCATTGAGTGGGTTACTGAATCCAAGTGTTTACCAGCTTATCGATAAAAAGTTAATTCGAACTTTTTCTAATAATGATATAAACTAAACGTCGGTTAAAAGTAATCGATGTCAGAACGAACTATCATCCATATCATTGTGGCTTCGATTTCTACTCTTTCATCAAATTTAAAGCGTTCCCATTCACGTAGTTCTTATAACTTTATAGTTTAATACAGTGTATGGCTTAAACTGTCTTTTGTGGTTTCTACTTCGTTGATTAAATTTTCGTTTTGTGCAAAAGTTCTTTTCAAATCAATATCATGATAAGTAAGACATTTTGAATATTGATGTTTGTTTGGTGAGCATGTCTAGTTACTCACCTTTTTCTTCATAACACTAGTTATAATGCTTACCAGATTAAAATACACCTAGCAAAGAAATATGTTTAAGAAAGATATGAAATTCACGTTAAACGATCAACTAATTGTGACCAATGTTCAATCGATCAAATTTTAGTTTAGTTATTACCTTAAGTGACTCGACGTTTCAGAGTTCTTTATTGATTGCTGTGTAACCCTAATAGATCAGTGGTGACTTCCCTAACTGATACTTAGTGATTCAAGTCGAAAGATTTTGTGCTAAAAGGATTGTTTGAATAAAATTCATATGATATGTCATTGTTGGCAAGCGTATCAATTATTCAGTTATTGATATTCAGGACTGAATTTTTGATTAATCTATGTGCAACGTGTGCAGAGTACTACGATATAACCACGTTGTCACTAGGTTTTTTTTAGAATAGGTCGGCAAATAACTAGTTGATATTTGAAGCAAAATGTTTTTATGTTCGAGTCCTGGTGTGAACATGAATACTGGAGTGCAAGTATGTCTAACTGACGAGTTCCAAACCAGGTAAAAAGGACATTCTTACTCCAGCACTAGCCACAGTTCACATTTGATTAAAATATTCTCATAATATTTTATAAGGTATGTGAATCAAATTAAGTCGAAATGGTATTCTCTCATAATTTTTTTTTATCTAATAGATAACCTTATGTTTCCTTTCTTAATTCAATTAAAACGTTGTTCATTTCACTTTAAATCAATAACACTTCATCTTTTTTTCTATTTAAACCGTTTAGTTGCCAAGATCGTGATGATTTGCAATGTATCACTTTAGAATCTATTTTAAATGAATTTTTTAAATTACATATAATACTTATTTTATTTTAGGGTCATATATTTAAAATAACTTTAGCAATTCTTAGCATATAACAGGGTCTTAAAAGACAAAACCCAGGTTCATAGTTAGTAGAGGGTCATTACATTGGTGATAATGTATGGATTTTCTTAAAAAATTTTCTCCACGTTTATTTCGTAAAATTATATTAAACTGTTATAGAAACATACATAAGATCAATGTTAATTAATTAATTATAATTGACAATGCGTTTGTTTATTCTATTAATCTGGATTTGTTCAAGCTATTCATTTTTATAGTTAAAATATCATGATCTTATTATTCAAAATAGAATAGATACATCATATACATTGTGATATCTGTTATATGTGTCTGTGTGTGTGTGTGTTCTAAGCGGTTTTATAAACATTATGAAGTTGATTTGACGTAACAAAATGGAGTTGTTGTTAGAACAAATATCTCTGTGAGATTTTACTTAGTTTTTAGTTTATAGTGAATTAATTTGACAGAAAATACAGTGGAGGAATCATTGAAAATTTCCAGTTATTTTTTTAATATTATTGTTGAACGAAATGTTCATGATAAATTGACTGTTTCATAACTTAGTGGCAATAATATAGACGTAACTATTAATAAAACCCTTTGTAAATTTAAGAACTCAACAATTCTGCATGAGTATGAAGTTTTGGATTTGTCACTCGTAAACTAATAAGTGTTTTCACAGGTAAAAAGTTATTCTTTAGGTATATATTACTAATCATATTCGTCTATTCTTTGTTCCAATTACAAATTACTTTATATTACATAGTAGAATAATTGTTCAGAAGTCTTATCTGATTAAAATTTGATCGGTTTACTGATATTCATGATTCAAAAATTGTTGGAAATGTAGTAAACTCATTCATCAGGTACTTGGATTTGAAACACACTCTAAGTATGAGTGTTAGTGATACTACTCAGTTTCTCAAAACTAAGGTGAACGGAATAGGATTCGAACCAGGGAACATAGTGACTGAAAGTCGGATGCTTTAGCCACTAAGCTATCGCTTCATTAAATCTATTCGTGATATTCTTAGATATTTGTTATTTGGAAAGGCACCATAGGTTTGATTCTAGTTAAAGTCGCTTATTTTTTCTGATAACTTGTGCTGAGTCAAAGTTAGAAATCCTCAACACAAATCGTATTATTGCGATAAGCTTTTTTAGAATGCATTGAAATTGTAAATATTTCATAAATATTATAAAATAAATTTTTCAGTAATTTTGACCATTCGTTATCAGTCCCAAGGTTTTTCGTCGAGTTTACCCCACACATTATTTTCCAATACATTATATATTTAATGCATGAATTTAAACGTACTCGCCTCCAATATAACAATCAATGTATTGTTTTCGCTTATATTTTCTCAGTAGTTAGCATCATGATATGTTTTTCAACATTTTGTGAAAGCTCATGAATACATCGTACGGTTATTATTAGCTTGAAAGTTTTGAATATGAATCAATTTTGGAGTATTCACATAGTAACAAATGAATTCGCATTTGATCAATTCATTATTATTAAACATTATTCAAAAAAGTTCTATCTTATCTTATTTCTGATTGTATTTTTAGCCCTACTAAAATGGGTTTACTAGATCCAGATACGCGTGATGGTCGTGTGATCTTCTTTTTACCATGGATGAATTATGCGTTAGCTGGCACTACAGATACTGAATGCAATGTTACTGATCAGCCATCGCCTTCTGAAGCTGAAGTGAACTTTATCTTGGAAGAAATTAGTAGTTATCTTTCTCCGGAAATCCAAGGTAGGTGTTTAGTCTTGGTCTTCCTTTGTGAGAATGGTTCATCAGGTGCTCGTATAGTACCCTTTAGTTTTTTTTTATCGCTTTACACCTGTGTAAATTTGTGGTTACATAATATATCAGGTTACTATTTAAATTCTCATTTTTAAGTAACTTCAGTACATATATTTTTAAGACAGTCGATACCGTAGAGAATTATGCAGCCCGAATAACTCAGTAGTACTGTAGAGAACAAATACTTAAGTGGAGATGAACAATTTATTGTCCAATGTACAATCACACAGTGGTTTAGTAAAATGTGGAAGTCGTCCATCAAATACATCATTTGCAGATTCTCTTTGAATTGTTTCCTACAAGCTTCATTGTTCCTTCATTCTGTCCTTATCTTGATTGATTTTAGTTTTCTTCTCTCTTCTCAACCTTCTTCTTGCAGACATTCCACTTCTGACTGGTGTTACATACTACTTATATCTGAAAAAAATAAGTAGCATACGCCACTGTACCACCTGGGATTGTGACACTTGTTAATGCAGTTCAGAATATCACAGGGAATATGTTTTTTATTATATTAAACAGTGGTTTAGTGGCTAAAGCGTTGAACGTTTAGCCGTCAAATCCCTGATCAAACACTACTTCATCTGCTGTAGTTTGGGCAACTGAATAATATCACTAGCCGTCAAACTACGAGTGTAATTCATATTCAAGTACCTCAGTCAGTCAGTCAGCTAACGTAGGACCAGGCACATATGTGCATCGGTCCAAGTTGCCATACCTCATTAACACAACAAGATGAACACCGGATTCATAAAAGTAGTTAATTCAATGGTGGTAATATATGAAAAAAAGATTGCATATAAGGATATAGTACAGGAAGAAAGAATTAGTTCGTAGAAAGAAGATATGAAGTGATTTTAATTTCTTAGTTTAAGGGAAGACAGAGAGTGTATATACCGACGCCACTGTAATCGATTCTGAGCCATGTCAACACAGTCTCCAACCATTGGTTACGATAGTCACGCGGACCCCAACCAAATAGTCTGCATCTACCAACATGGCTCAGACTACAAGTTAGTGACTTCAAGCACTGATGCCACGTTTTGGTTTGGCCGCACCTAACTTTCTTCCAAGCATCTCCAACACCGGTTAGCATTGCACGTCGTGGTAATCGGTGTTCAGGTATACGTAACACGTGGCCCAACCATCTCACTCGATGAAGATTCACAACCTCATCAACTGATTTACCATCATTTCCTAATACCCTGCGTCGGACCTCACTATTACTTACCCGGTGATCCCAGCAGATGCCAGCAATATTCCTAAGGCATCTGTGGTCAAATACTAGTAGCTTACGAGTGTCTTCTACTCTTAAAGCCATGTTTCGCTGCCGTAAAGTAAAACAGAACGGACTGCCGCGCAGTATATTCGTCCTTTTATTGATAGACGGATATCTCGCCTTCGCCACAGGTGACGTAAGTTGGCAAAAGCCAAACGAGCTTTTCGAATCCGTGCTGAGATTTCGTCAGACACCAACCCATTAGGGCTGATCAGACTTCCAAGATAAGTGAAGTTGTCAACACGTTCCACTACTTCACTCCCTATCCTTAGTTCAGGTGTTAACGCGGACCAGTCGTGAAGCAACAACTTGCATTTAGAGGGAGAGAAGCGCATTCCAAACATTCTGGCATTGTTGCTTAGTGCTACCAGAAGACTCTGCATTTTATTAGTGTCTTCACCAAACAGGACTATGTCATCTGCGTATTATAAGTCGACCTCCTAGAAGATCAATGCCCGAAAATTCAGTCGACGAGAATGTTGTTTCCATAAGTATGTCTATGATGAAGTTGGACAAAATTGGAGAGAGTGGACAACCTTAAAGGACACCACTTGAGGTTGCAAAATCAGATGACAGTTCACCATAAGCTCTGACTCGACTAGTAGTGTTCGAGTAAAGAGCCTTCACAAGGTTTATGTACTTCTGGGGTACGCCTTTCAATGACAGACACTGCCACAGAATCTCGCGGTCTACAGAGTCAAATGCTGCTTTTAAGTCAAGAAAGACCACCATTGTCGGACGCCGATAAGTATGCCTGTGTTCTAGAACCTGACGAATGGTGAATATGTGGTCGATGCAGCCACGACCAGGTCTAAAGCCAGCTTGGTTCTCTCGTGTTTGTAGTTCACGAGTCTTAGTTAGGCGTCTGATAATTATCGAGGCTAGTATTTTAGATATTATATTGTTAAACTAATCCCTCTGTGGTTGTCACAGGATGATTTTGACCCTTTCTTATATATTGGGACGATAAGTGATTGTGACCAGTCAGATGGGATAACGTCTAATTCCCAGATCTTAGCTAAAATATTAGTCAACCTAATCGCTAAAATTGGACCACCATCCTTAAAGACCTCTGGAGCCATCCATCTGGACCAGCTGCCCTTCCTCGTTTCAGATTAACTATAGCCTTTTGAACTTCAGCAAGAGTTGGGGGACCTACTTCAATGTTCCATTCACTGTCTGGGAATGGAGGGTAGTTGTAGAGTAGCTGAAGGCCAGCTGAACTGTTCTCTAAAATGTTCCGCCCATCGTTCTAAACGTCTGGACTGGGAGCAGATGAGAGTATCGCTTTTTCCGAAATAATCTCACTTACACTTGACTTATTAATTCCAGTTTCTTTTATTAGTCTGTAAAGCTGCCGCCTTTTCCATCTCTTTTGCTTTCTTGCCCACCACTGCTCACGGTCGTTCCTTAGACTTTTTCTTAACCTAGATCTGATTTGTTGTCGCTCTTCATCATGTTCGGAACCTGATGGGACGAGTTTGCGAGAATCCATCAGTGTGATAGACTTGAAGAAATCCACTGGTTCTTTGTAACTCTGTGGTTTAAGTCACTAATAGATGTCACTGCTGTTTCCACAGCTGCTTGTATGTCCTTCCAAGCAACATCTGGGTCAGCCTCGTCTTCACAACTACCTAAGTGTGACCTCAGTTGTTCCTGGAACCTACTTTTGGTTTTCTCGTTACTCAACTCAGTTCTAATGGGTCTTTTTAATGTGGCTTTTTTGCGTCCAGTGAGGCGCAAGCAGATGCGTGCCCGTATTAGGGCATGGTCGGAGTCCAAGCAGGTACTCCAGAATGAGCGACAATCTTCTACCGACCCTCTCCAACGATGACTGATGGCAATATGGTCTATTTGAGTCCATCGTTGGTTTGGTGTAGGGGGTCGCCATGTTAGACGATGTCTCTCCTTATGCTTAAAATTTGTGTTTGCTAAAAATAAACGATTGTCTGAGCATAGTTGCAGCAGACGATCACCATTATCTGTTCGCTGTGTCGGAATGCTAAAATATCCACCTAAATGCCTTTCTGTTTGGTTTAAACTACCTATCTGAGCATTAAAGTCACCCCCTACGAGTACTATGTCTGAGCGTTTAGCTTTCTGAAGAAGTTCAGACAGCTTTCTGTAAAATTCATCTTTCACATCATCTGAGCTGCAGTCAGTGGGAGCGTAGGCAGAAACGACAAAAAGGCAACGACGTGTGTCCCTATCCTTCCGAGTTCTTACGGAGCCGTTTAGCCGAACAGCACATAGACGACTGTTGACGGGGATCCACTCTAGCAGTGCTTGTTCCGCCCTCATGCTTAGTGCTATGCCTACACCTGCCAGTCCACGAGAACTGGCCATCGGGTCACCAGATACACGGAGGGTGTATCTCGTTGGCTCTCCGTTTTGCCGAGGTGAGGTCAAGTGAATGACCACACTGGAATCCTGTATGCGTGTTTCGGAGACACAGCATACATCAATGGAAAGAGACTCTAGGGTTTTAGCCAAGGAAGCCTGCTGACCGATTTGACATAGGGTGCGTACGTTGAAGGCTCCAATGTGTAGTTTGGAGCGAGGTTTCAGTAGACCTGGGACAGAGTTTTGAGCACTAGAATCGTTGGCTATGGTGACACTTGAGGAGGAAGCCGAAAGAGGAAGTTTAGAGTTGAAAGTCGATGTAGGAGGAATAATAGGAATTGAAGAGGAAGGTTGATTATGAATACAGTGGTCTTGGGTGCTGTTAGAGGTATGAGGGCGGTTATCACTTCCCGGTTGCCCACACCGTGGAAGGGTTCTTCTGGAGGTACCTGAAAAGGAAATTGGATTAGAGGTGGTCTCAGTGACCTGAGAGCGTGACCGCAGTGCCCAAGGGACAACTGCTTGAGGCCGGTCGCGCACGGCCTTTTCGTGGGAGGTTTTTGACGTGTTAGCTCCGTTCTTCAAAGGGCCTTACCGCCGGAGACGGAAATCCGTGAGGTAAGGTGAGGTGTGCATTTTTAGGGTCGACCTTTTCTAACCCCACCCCTCCTTGTGGGAAGGCAGCATCGCTGTCATGCTGGTTGTCTGAAGGAAACACCTTACTGCTGTCACACCTCTGTACAGTCAGCAGTACGACTTCGCCTTCGGACCTTGTGTTTGTTGCTTTTAGTCTTACCGCTCTTCAACCGACCTGTCTGACATGGTAGGACCTTGAGGAACGGTTGTTCCAGCCAGTATAGCTCGGTTGCTTCATCACGATAGGCAAGCCCGACCACCACGTCAAGGTAGCAACAACGGTCGGGATTCAAGTACCTAGTGAATTAATAAACTTAATTTTAAATCATTAATAGTTATATCGATCATTTGATTTTATCATCTCAATTTTCTAGTTCATAATCTTTATTTGCACCACTCTCAGATGTCGTCGACACATTTCATTGCTTTCGTACACAGTCACTTTGTTTCGGCCGTACAATATTTTAGTACCACCTTAATCCAATGTCCTGGGAACCTTCTATTACATTTAATGGATAATTACAACATCTTATTCAACCATTTACCATTTTTGTATGAATGTTTGCTACACTAAGCCGATATGTTTTTTGCACCTTGTTTTAACCATTTCAATTCTATAGGTACGTTAAACTTCATTCGAAGTCTTGATTTTGAAACATATAGGTTATAAGCCGTTGAATAATCACTTCAAATGGTTTTTCCTGTTCTTATGAAGTCAATAAAAGGAATTAAGCGTTAAGTATCAGTTTCTTTAGAATTGAAGATGTTTTCTTAAGTTGCGCTAAGTAGGACAAAACGTAGATTCCTGTCTCCCCAACAATTTTTCCACTCGCTTCATATCAAACTACGTACATCGGTATTCTGAGTCAGTGAGCGTCAGAATTCATCTTCACATATGGGATTTGATGAGGAATTATAGATGGTCAACTGTATATTGGTTACTATAATAGTGGTGAGTTAATTTACTTAATTAACTCAGTCACTGAAAAAGGATTAAATAAGTAGCACATACAATTAGATATCTCGATTTTGGACAATATGTCAAGTTACCGAATTATACCCTTAATCTTATACCACATAAAGACCTAGCTAATTTCAAAATTTTTGTGTTTTCTTAGCTTAAGCTTAAGTTATGAACTTTTCATTGTCTTCCCAGACAAAATCTTGTGCTCAAGACATGTGGATTCATTTTTACTGTCTGTAAGTAGCTTTCAGCATATCTCTTAACAATGGTTATGTCTAATTATTATCAATAGGTGTACTATTACTGTTTTTATACATACGTTTCAATTGATTGCTTTTTTTAATGTAATTTTCGGTACTAAACATCACCGTCGTCTTTTTTCCTTAATAATTTTATGTATTTGGTTTTAGACTTTGTAGTTATCAGAAAGTGTCCATATCATCATATTGTAATCAGATATTTCCATCAAATTACCAGCTATAATTCAGTCATTTAAAAAACGGCGTTCATTTGTTTCCATAATAATAATAATAATAATAATAATAATAATAATAATAATAATAATAATAATAATAATAATCGTTTTTTCAGTATTACAATATGGAATTATCAGCGTACAATATTTTAAAGAGTTCCTCTTTGCAACGCTGGATATGCTCCAGGTTCAAGGAGTATAAATGTTTGTGATCCGGCCATCCTTTTCAATTTGATTATTGTATAGTGTATAAACTAAGTATGGTATTATTTAGCTTTGTACTTTTCTTTGATTGTATGCATTCTGACGTACATTTGTGTCTTATTTTACCATTATGCTTATACATTAAGTTAATATCTTGAGGGATTTTCTCTATTCTTAAATAACTTGAATATTTGCATATTATTTTTTGCCTGCTATTTGATTAATAATTCATTTTTAAAATGAATGACAGTACACTTGAATAAACAGTTTTGCTTAACTAATATTACATCATCATAACTAATGTTTTAGTTAAAATGTAACTCAATTTTTTCGTTTCATTTACTTTTGTTATTGCTATATTTATTTCTTTGTTAATAGTTCGTCGTGGTGATGTACTGTCATCTTGGGCAGGTATTCGACCACTTGTTCGTGACCCAAATTCTTCTGATACACAATCGATTGCACGTAATCATATTATTGATGTTTCGCCATCTAAATTGATAACAATTGCTGGTGGTAAATGGACAACTTACAGAAGTATGGCAGAAGAGACTGTGGATAAAGCGATAAAGGTAGTAAACAAGTTCTGTCTTTATTTGAATAGTTCACTAATAAAAGTCGCTATTTTATTAACAGTGAATCAGTTAATGAGTACTTGTTTATGCAGTTAACTTTAAGCTGCACTGTTTTTGTAAAGTTAAGTAATACTATGTGGTTATTTAAACTGAGTTAGGTGAAATGTGATATGATACTCAAACGTCAGATCATTTAACCGCTAAGTTATCGTTGTTTGATAAACACAGTCCTACATTTTATACCCTTAATAGCTGATTGTCATTAAAATTAATAATTGTTTTAATATTTTCATTTTGTTATTACAAGAGAAATATACAGAAATTTATTGGGAATTATTTTATTCTGTTTTATTAATTAACTAGGTATGTGATCTTAAACCAACTGGTCCATGTCGTACCAAAGGTCTTCTTTTAGAGGGTGCTCATGGTTGGTCACCAAATCTATTTATACAAATTGTTCAAGAATATGGTATGGATGTTGATGTGGCACGCCATTTAACTGGGATTTATGGTGATAAAGCTATCACTATAGCTAATATGTCCAAACTAACTGGTTTAAGATGGCCAATATTAGGTAAAAAATTACATCCTGAATTTCCATTTATTGAAGCTGAAGTAAGTTAATTTTGTCATAAAATTGATAATTTGTATAATCAGATGAATAGTGCTATTATTGTCTGTGAAACTGCCTTCACTTTTTCTACATAGGCATGTTATACTGTATATTTTACAAGTAGTTTGGGAACATGTTATAGAATGTCAAACCAATAAATATGCATAGTATCATTAAGTTTCTTGTTTCAAAATACCTATTACATGTATGAACAACCGCCAGAAAAGAAAAGAAAGGTACCGATCACGAAAAATACATTGCACTACGAATATCTGCTTCATGTTTAACAACAAAACTTATAGACCAGTAGATGGAGTAGCAATGTTATCACCCATAAGCCTGATCCTCGCTAATATTTTTCTATTCAAACAAGAAATGGACTGGTGGGTGATATCCTAAATAAGCTAGATTATTGTCATTGTTACACAGATGAAATACTAATCCTGTGTGACGAAACTAACGACAAACAAGAGGTTTTGAACAGTTTAGATCACGTTCACCCAGCTATTAAATTCGCCAGCGAAGAAAAGAACGATAATAGAATATCTTTCCTTTGTGTATTACTTTTTTGGGAAAATAGACGGCTCCATAAAAACAATTGTATTTAGGTAGAATACTTGGACGGGTCAGTATACCTATTTGCACAGTTTTAAACCTCTTCAATGCAAAATAAATTTAGTTAAATGTTTTAGTCACAGAATCAAAGTATTATGTTCTGAGGATAAAGTAGATAGCGAAATAAATAAACTAAAGAATACAATACGGCATATTGGCTTTCCAGATAATGTCAGATTTCTATCAGAAGGTAAGAAATAACAAACTAATGCAATCAGCGAGAAAACCCTCTATCTAAAACTCTATTTAAAAGGGGACATAGCAAGTGACATTTCAACAAGTCAACTCAAAAAATCTGTTGAGAAGCCATTTCATGCAGCCAAGTTACATGTGACCTTCTCAACCAAACCAATAACTACGCAAAAAATCAGGGATAGTTTACCGATGATGATGTGTGTACACCAATTCGACCACTCCTATAGAGCTGGTTACCTAGGTCATAAACAGATGGCTTTATCCTTATATGTTCGTTGTAACAGTATTACTTACTTACTTACGCCTGTTACTCCTAATGAAGCATAGGCCGCAGACCAGCATTCTCCAACCCACTCTGTCCTGGGGTGTAACAGTATGGTTGGGAAAAAATAGTCGCTGAATCTTTTAACCAACACGTCATAGAGGGCCATTTTTTCTCACTTGGTAGATAGTGAGCATCATATAAAAATACATGAAGCTTTCACTATTTTGTGTCGAGTTCTAAACAATCTACATATCTGAAGCCATCTGAATCAACTCCGGAAAACCTAACTTATTTATCCAGAAGAGATACAGCCAGCCTTTATGTTTACCTTGGTACACGACTGAATCACCAGATACCTAGGCTGGATGTTATAAACTTCTTATTCCCTCTCCTCATTCCTTATGTGTTTCTATCTTTCTTAACCTCCACGTTCACCTTTCTCAATTCGCAGGAATTCTTTTTTATTACAATTAACCTGACAACACCCCTCTTATTGCATATTATATTCACACAGTGTTGTTATTATTGCCTCATTTAACAAGACGAAATTCTCCTACTATACTGTTCACACGACTTATTGTATTGATATTATATTGATTAATACTTAACACTTTATTACGAATCATTCTGACCTTTGTTAAATGACCCTACTAATTGACAAATAACACGATTTCGAAGCATTTATGTCGGAACAAATGCAGGAGTTTACCCTCGTCGAAATCACTAATGCATACCTTATTTAGGTCTTTATAAAATATCACAGTAATTATGGACTTCTAACTGTAGAGCTTAACATGATTTAATTCTTGAACCCATACTTAAAATATCATACAATTATGCGTCTATAACCAACAGATATAGACTTGACTGTGTAGTATTTACTCCTTCCCACAATGTGATTACATTTTACAGATGATTGGGAAGAAAAATCAATGTGATGTGTTATTCACACTCCACTAGATTACGTCACTCATTGATCACAATATCATACATGAAATTTTTTTTTTAAAAACCTGTTTAATGTTTTCTAGGTGGAATATGCATGCCGAGAATATGCTTGTCATGTTGTCGACTTTCTTGCTCGTCGTACTCGTTTAGCATTTTTGAATGTACGAGCTGCGGAAGAAGCTTTGCCAAGAATTGTTGATTTAATGGGTGAACATTTAAAATGGAACAGTGAGAGAAAAAAGCAAGAAATGCGTGAGGCAGAGGTAAACTAGAATTTTGATAAGATATTTGTGTAATATATTTGCTGTATTTATTTTTTCTACAGTATTACTAATAGTGAAACTGCACACACATTTTATTCATAGCAAACTATACTCGGTCTTTTGAATCAACGTTGAGTTTGAACTCGTGACTTGCTTGTGTCTGTTACTCGTCGTGGAGTATAAGCCGCCGACAAACAATCTTCCACCTACTTTGTCCTTGGCTCTCCTTACAAGTTTTCACCAAGCGTTATTCATTCTTTTGATGTCTGTCTTCAACTTATGGTGCGATGTATTCTCTGATTGCCTCTTTTCTTTTTGCCTTAAGGATTCCAATTTAGGACTTGCTTTGTGATTCACTTTGATGATATTTACTGTGTGTTTCCTATCCACCTATCTTATTCACATACCGAATATACTGAGATCTAGATTTTTCGGGTATTATAAAGAAATATCTTAATGAGCATATTTTCAGCAAGCTCAAACAGCTCATGGTTTTTCTCCATCTAATTCTGTTTTTTTTTTACACATTATTAGTTAATTACAGACGTTTTTGCAAAGGATCCTTTGCATATGTCACAATTAGTGATTGATAATTTTCATGTAAATGTATAATTTTAATTAAGAAACAGTATTAAAATTGATAAACAGAGATGGGTTGTAGTAAACACTGGAGCTCAGGACTTGCGTTTTATACTTCTCTGAGTCGATGTTCACTCAAACACTTGAACCCGTATCGTTCGCTTTAAACACAATAAGGTTATCCATCCAGTTAAAGTTCAGACAACCATGATCTTGTGCACTGGGGTAAGGTTTAATTTTTGTGTATTATTTATTTGGGAATATTCAAATTATCAATACTATTATTTGTTAATTAAGTGATTTCCAACTGTTATTATTAGTTTTCAGTAGCAGATATTTAGAATTACGATGTTGGCTAGTTGGTCGCTAAACATAATTATGATATTAATTTACTAGAAAGGATTGAGAAACTGAAATGTCCAGGATTTGTGTAGTTGTTTGTAAATGAACGATTTTTGTATTTCTAATGTATTTTATGGTATTCATATGTAAATCTAACTATAAACCTTTTTTTGATCAATAGTCATCATAACACATACTAGTTTTTCTAAGAAATATAATACAATTAATTATAAATTCGTTATTCCCAGTTGTATCAAATTTTTCCCTCACTTAATACCTACCATTTATAGTTTCATGTATCTCACAGTCTTATGAATAATTTTATGTGTCATGATTCAACCATCGAGTGGTTGTAATGGTTAATTTTATCTTCTGTTGTTTTTATTGAACGTTGGTTTGTAGACATCATAAATTCCACAGCGTAGAATCGTGTGAATTTCGTTGTTTTAGGTAACTTGCAATCAGTAGTAAGAATGAATCCAACCAGTCAGTTGATAATGATTCAAGAATAATCATATAACATATTTGTGTTGTTTGTTATGGATATACTCTATAGTCATATGACAATTTTATACTAAGCGAAAGCCTCGTTTCTACCAGAGTGGTACAAATGTATGTCACATCTTAATTTAAAGATAATACAGTTCAATGTATCTTCTCTTCTAGTGGTTTTGAAGCTGAATTTAGTCCATCATGAAAATTATTTATAAATTAGATAATTTCTACAATCTTCTTACCTTTCTTAATTATATCTGGAAAACGTCATTTATTTTACGTTTTATTTATGACCGATAGTTGTGCAGAAAACTTTTTCTGGATTTAACACATACAAGCGGCCTGCTTGAATATCTGGGCTACCTGTTTCTGCCATCTAATTATTTCAACAAGTTATCTGTTTTGTCATTTTGTTGTAACGTCTCATTATGTCCATTAATCTCATAACCTATACAGGCGCGTTTATGAAAAGCCTACGACCTTTCGCTGCACAAGTTACAAAAAAGTACTATAAAAGACATCGTGGTGGTTGGCAATATGCGTTAAAGAGAATGAACATTAATCGTATGTCGATTCCCGAGCTGCTAAATTCTAACTGCCGATCACTCATCAACAAAGTGGACTATCTTCAATTCCTACTAAGTCAAAATATGTATCGTAATTGTGGTGTCATCACAATTCAAGAATCTTAGTTAAATGATCTACAGGACGACAGCCTAGTATCACTACGTGATTTCAAAATTTATCGTCAGGGTCGATCAAACAATAAAAAGAGGTGTGGTGGCGGTGTAGCTACGTTTGTGAACGTGAACTGGTGTCGATCTTCGTTTGCGTGTTTCAAGTTTTCAAACGACTTTATCGACTGTCTAACTCTAAGATGTCGTCCAAAACATCTGAATAAATACAAATATGTTTATGTTACCAATATCTACGTGACTCCAGACTGCACATCATCTGCCCTATCTGTTTTCGCTGATGAATTCACTGATTTTGCTGTTACTGCCTTCAGTGATTCACTTTCAGTTGTATGTGGTGATTTCAATTCATGTGACTGTAGCTTCCTTACGTCACTAGGTCACCAAAATGTAGTAGATTTTCCTACTCGTTTGGATGCTCATTTAGACTTCGTTTTCATTAATGATGTGGGTATATATGTGACTCGTAAACGTGCTCCATTGTCTAGCTCGGATCACTGTATAATTCGTGTTCTACCTAAAGTATATGGAAAGCATGGGAAGAGTACACTCTTACATCAAACCAAGAAAGTCAAATATAGGAATTACTCAGAAGAAAATATCCGAAATCTGAAAAACATGTTTCACACAACTAACTGGGAATTATTTACAGATGACTCACTGGAAAACACTACTGATGTTATCACTTGTTACCTTTAATTCTGTTCTGATATTTGTTGTCCCACTGAAACCATTTTTGTAAGTTTTGATCGACTTACATCTACACAACTAAAACGACTACGGAGGATGAAAGAAAGAATGTACAAGGAGAAGAACTCTAATGAAGTTCGTAAGCTAAATGGTCTGATAAACCTAGAGATTAGACGTCTCAAAAACTCTCCAAGTATGTGGAAACTCTTTAAAGAACTTACAGGTGACAGACAGATAACCAGCTGAATGTTTGTGACTTAAATGAGTCAGTCATCTGATGTAATGCTCCCTTTATCCACAGGTTTAAAGAATAACTGTTTTCCTACTTTCACTGAAACTGATGTCCGAAGATGTCTCCAGTCACTTAATTCATTCCGATGTTTGGGACCTGATGGTATCCCAAACCTCCTTTTTAAAAATGTGCTGACGTCCTATGTTATCCATTCACGACTATCTTTAACAGATCCTTCTCATCTAATCTCATACCGAAAATGTGGAGAAAGATGAAGATAATTCCTGTACCCAAGAAAGCATCTGGTGATAAGAATGTGAAATTTAGACCTATTGCAATAACTTCACCCTTCCTCAAAACAATGGAAAAATTATTAATACTTCCACTTCAGCCTGCGATAAAAGAGCATATTGATCCGTATCAGTTTGCTTACAGATGCAAAAGAAGCACCTTAGATGCTGTTGCTGTTCTGCATCACAATATAGTGTTCAACTTAGAAAAGGGTAAGAAGTATGTTCGATGCGCTTTTCTGGACTATACTTCAGCTTTTGATTCTATACCAAGACAACGTTTACTTAACAAGTTAATCAGCGTCAACACTGACAGCTGGATAACCAACTGGCTATGTTCCTGCCTCTCTGGAAGGGGACAGTACACTGTATTTGGAGGAAAGTGTTCAGAGTCTCTACTGTCTCATGAAGGTGTACCACAAGGAGCTGTTCTTTCACCTCTTCTTTTCTCTTTTTTTCTGCATGATCTGCCATCTTCCACAGAAAACACTTTTGTGAAATATGCGGATGATCTCACTGTATGTATGCCTATCTCTTCCTCTTTACATCCCATAGAAATGAATGAGTTTTTGTCTCGTATTGATTGTTGGTCTGTTAGTAATGGTCTCATACTTAATCCGTCTAAATGTCAAGCTGTTAACTTTAGCATGAGACATGAACGGAGTCTAAACACCATTTTGAGATCCCATAATGCTTGTGCCATTGGAGACTCTTTGATAAACACAGTGTCGAAGGTCAATTATCTTGGTGTTACCTTTTCCTCTGATCTCTCTTGGTCTTCTCACGTTTTATTGTTATCGAAGAAGGTTTTCCGTCTGACTTACTACATAAAGAGAATGCATGCTGTTGGGATTACTCGTCATTTACTCTTACAATTTGTCAATTCTTGCATATTACCTATTTTTCTTTACTGTTCTCCATTATTCTTGTAGTGTCAGTCATTATTTTACGCCCATATATCTTATTTTAGCTTTTGGACATTCCATTCTATTCATTCTACTTGAGTCATATGTTGACCTTTTTAGTTATTCGCTTACCAGTCTTCATTGTTTTTATATGAGCGTATATGTGTGTACACTTCTTATGCCATGTCTCATCACATGTCTGTAGCTTATTTTTGTCTGCCTATAAATATTGGCTAACGCCTGACTAAAAATGAGTTGGCTTACCAGCCATCTCCACTCTGCATCGCTTCTCTTCCTTGTATTCCATCCATCTCATATACAAATATATGTATTCAAAATCCATTCTCGTTATTTGACTTATTTAATTCCGTTATTGACTAACGTGATTAAATTCGACGATGATATACGAGAATCGGCGATAGCAAACATTCGTACGCTCTAATCGAGTCGAGAACTACGGGCCACAAAATTCTCTCCCGGGCTTTTGAGAAAAGACTTTGCTGTATTGCGGAGAGTGGTGAAGGCAGTTAGCAAGGTGTGTGATGAATCTTTCGAGGTCATAATTAATATGGTCGTGGATAGACATCTAAAGTCATGCAAACTCCTAGCAGGTGTTATTTTATCAGATACTAACCATCACCTTCACTCTTATCTTTCTCCTTGTATATCTTCTGGTAGAACGAGACGTAATTACATTAAAATCCATGTACGCAAGCAAAAGTATAAAAGTTCTATAATACCTTACCTAGCAAATATACTCTGTGACGAACAGGTTGTTAGAGATAATCTAGTCACTAACCTGCATTCTTAACATATCTCTAGTTTGAAAATTTGCACAGTTTTTCAGACTTCTTTTAAATCTTTTTTCCCTTGTTTTGTCTTTGTTTCTGTTTTTTGTGTAAGAAACTTGTTGAAATACCCTGTGCTGAGAATTCTATATTTTCTTAGGTTGAAATCATGAGTTGACTGAAGCTAGACCACCATGGAGAACCTGCAAGCACTGGACGGCCGTTTCGTCCTAGCACGGGACTCCTCGGCAGTGCGCATCCACGATCCCGCACCCGGTGGGATTCGAACCCAGGACCTACTGGTTTCGCGCGCGAGCACTTAACCACTAGACCACTGAGCTGGCCGGCATCCAACGGTATTAATGTCTAACTTCAACCAATCCACGAAGTCGCGCCACCGTACACCATTGTCTTTAGTGAGCTGATATCTCACAACAGACCTGGTTAAACTCCACTGGTAACGGCTTCTCACTAGAACTTCAGAAGTATCTCCTGAAGTCAGTCACTAGTGAGCAGATGATTATTATCAGAAGGGGTTTGTGGAGATTTTTAGAATTTTCACAAGTTGAAATCATGAGTCAATTGAGGCTAGACCACCATGGAAATTCTATATTGTACGAAAAAATAATACTGAATAAAGCCACTAATAATAATGTCTCACTTTGGGTTAATGCAATATATATATATATATATATATATATATATATATATATATATATATATATATATATATATTACGTCATACATCGTGAACAATTTCTTGTCAGTATTTATTTTAAGTATGTCTGGGTTCCTATTGATTTTTGTAACTGATAGCACATGTTTTCAAAGCATTTTTACACGCTTGTTACATCTGTGTTTTTCTTTTTATAGAACTTTTTAAGATCTGAAATGGGTCTTGGTCTGCGTGTTATGGAAGGTGTTCGTATGGATTTGACCATTGAAGAAATTAATAATCTTTTACAAAGTTTCCGTAAACTTGATCATGGCACTAAAGGATATGTTTCATTGGATGATTTACGCAAATTTTGTACTGTAAGTTGTTATCAAACCAAGATATCTTGGTGATTTTTTTCTGTATTCAATTTGTTAATTACCACCGATATTTTAGAAATACTTGTGAACTGTCTTGCTGTTTTCCATAACTCTTGTTACTGTGTACATATTTATTCCCTAAAGCTTTAATGATTCATTTGAAGTATAATATGTTAACTATTTAAATTTTCCCAAATACAATAGCTAATCACTTTTTTCAATCCACTCAATATTTATAATTTATTACTAATCTAGTCATATTATGTAATAAGACACTTCTCTCAGAATGGTGTCAAATTTTGTCATGACTTTGATGAATTCTTAATTTTCACATCATGATTAAACAATCATTAAAAGACAGGAAGTGCCAGACAACTGTTTCATTTTAGTATAATACTCCTCATCAGTACTCCTTCATTACCCTTGACCTTCAGGCTTTGCAAAAAGCGCCTGATCTTCAAACCACTATGTTGACATCCAATGGTTTAGATTTCAAACTTCAGTGGGTCTCTAAACTCACAAACCTCCACAACATTCTATAATAGTTTTAGTTGGTTTTAAACGCTTCATCGTTGTAAGTATTAATCTTCTAAAAGTAACTGAATGTTACAGAATTTTGACGTCAACGTATGTCATAACATGATTTAATTCAAAACTAATTATTTTGTTTCAAGTATGTTTTTAATGAATTTATTTTTAAGACAAGAATAATGTGTTTATTTATAGAGTTTTCTTGAATTTGGTAAATTGGTTTTGCCAAAAATTACAAACTAGATTAGTATACAATAAATATTTTGATAATTGTGTAGACAATGTACCTGATATTGATTTCTCTCCATCTTGTTTAAAGTACAATTTATTCAAGTAATTAATGTGTAAGGACAATCGATTGTATAAATGTTTCATGTAATAAGCAGACTCCATAAAATCACTGTTTTAGCATTTTAAAGAAAACTAATTTTAGAAATAACAACATACTACAATAATTGTTTAAAATTACACAACACACTTATATTTCACTGTAAACTATTAACTTTAGTGAATAAACTAACTATGAATATAATTGTACAGCTTAAGTAAATAAAATCTTCGCTAAAACAACTTTCTTCACTTCACTTGAATCTTCCCATTGATGTTTTAGGACTGAAATTGATCAGTCTCTTATTGGCATATGTGCATACTGTAAATTGAGGCAATATCGAGGCAATACACACAGTATGCACATATGCCAATAAGAGACTGATCAATTTCAGTCCTAAAACATCAATGGGAAGATCCAAGCAAAACAATACCAAGTGAATTAAACTTCACCACATTGCACAAGCAAGTGGCTATCAGGACTCAGTAGCTAAGTGGATAACGCGATGGCGTTTGAAGCGAACGGTACTGAGTTCGAGTCCCAGAGTGAACATCGACTCTGAGATGCAGGTACATCCGGCTGACGAGTCCCAAACAGGACGAAACGCGCGTCCTGTATTCCACTGCTAGCTACTATCCATCTTTGCTTATAAACTTTCTTCACTGTTCTACTTTTATGCTTCTTAAATTCTATATTCATTAACCAAGTTTACAATTCCTATCCGTAACTTTGAATGATTTCAAACACCTCATGTATTAACACCAACTGATGAAATATCAAGAGATCAACAATCAATTATTTCATTTTATTTTCAATCTCTTCACTTTAAGTGTCAGTTATTTGGGACTTGGTGTGATATGACTCAGAATCGTTTAGAATGGCTAAGATTTATTCACTCCTATTCCACTAAATCTTGGGCTTTGAAATTACTTTATATTTTTCATTCCATGAATTTACTATTAATTACTAACAATAGCTTTATTTAAAATTATGTTTAGTATAGTATTAAATTCTCAGCATATTATCTACGTCTAATGTTTTCTACTACTGTAACATTTATCTTGGTAATTTCATCTCACTATAGTGATACAGTATGGTGACTTGGATCGACATAGATGAGTGTCAGCTTCTATTTTGTTTATAACTAACTGATCGGATGATTATCCAGCTGAGATTATCAGTTGTCGTTGAAATCTTTTTAACTAAGCTAACTTTCTTCAAGCTCCATATCTGAATAATAGTAATAATAACAGCAATATTCTTATTGTATTTCATGAATCTTTTTACAAACAATATTTATTAACCTTTTTAGGAATCTGGTGAATATGTTAGTGAAGAAGTGTTACAATCTACTTTGAATACAATGGATATTAATAAGAATGGACAAGTTGACATGTCAGAATTCTTACAAGTATGTTAAAATGGAAAATTTTCTCTCTGGTGTTGTATTTATTTATTTCATTGGTTCTCGGAAAATAATTCTTAGTTCCCTTTATTTTTCCATCATTTTCTATCTACATATTTCAGTTAATTCTCATAAAGAAATTTTATTTTATTTTTAACATTCAATCAGATACTTTACTCTTTTCAAGTTGAAAAACATTAATGCTTATGTTGTTTGAGATAACAAGTCAACATTCTTTGTTTTTAGATATTTGGTTGTTAGGTTGTTCAAATTTTAACCGATAGATTTCAGATTCAAAAGTCGATCCATTTGTTAAGGTTTGGATAACCGGCTGATATCATTGACCTTAACACAAATAGTGTGATTAATTGTTGAATACGTACAATTACACGTAGTAGTAATTGAATTAAATTAAATTAAATACGTTATCTCTTTCATATTAAATAATAACAATCCTATGTTGTTAAGGTGATATCGATTAGCTCCTGTTGTTTGCAGATATTTTCTACTTGTTTTAAATTATATACACATTCCGATTTTCTAAAAGGGCATATTGCACTGAACACGTTTTTTCACAAAGTATTGTTATCTCAAGAAATTGAAGTAAAAACGTTGATAAGTCAATGCCAATAAACTCCTCCAAGTTTAAGACATGATTACGAATTCATACTTCTGATTGTAAACTGCATTTGATATTTTTGCCAATCAATTACGCAGCCGTTTTAATGGTTCGGAGTTATTAATTTGTATAAAAACTTGCTGTCATACACACACACGCCATATCATAATTCTGCTGTATGCATTTGCCTATGGTTAAGTTTCTAAAAAACGACGAAACTGGGCTATCTATTACTTTAAGTATATTCATGGAAGTTAATTTCACTCTTAAATTCTTCCACTTACCATGAAGTATTAATATTAGTGTATTAATGCATATGAATACGTAGTCCCATTGGCTTAACTATAATCGCTTGTGTAGTTGGGGTTTTGAATCAACTGACCGTAAGTTGTAGGCCTAGTTTTCATGCTAGTTGATAATCACCATCAAGCCACATCTTCAATGTTGACTGAACTAATGCTCTTCGTATATTTTGAGCTAGTATCACAGTGTCATAGTTAGAGACTTAATTACTGAGCTATTCGAACCGTAACTACTGAATTTCTTTAGGGCTGAAATATTTACCATTCAATAATAACCAATTAGATATTCTTCTAGTCCTTAGTGCTGATCAATTTCTATCGATTAATTTCAATTTGGATACTAATTTAATTGAGTTATTATTTTGTCAGTTCAATCCTGTGCCATCGAATCTACCTTACACTACATTAAAGGATAGACATATTGTTGCTGATTGTAATCGTTAGGGTTCAAAATAGAGGCATGGGAAATACTCCTAACACAATACTTGGTCTATCATAACTAGATAAATCTACGATTAACACACAACGACACTTCAAAATTCTAATTTCACACAAGCGAGAAGAGATGAGACTAGACTTTGTTAGCTAGATTTTCTGCCTCTAGGAAAAAAAACAATAAATTATGTGGACATCTCAGTTTATATAATGTTTTAGAAAACAAAGTAACTAATAGGACTGCCTTATTTCAAAATTTACGATAATGTCGTGGTACAAAGGCTCACGTTGATATTACTGAAGAAACCCTGACAAATCAGCTAGAACACAAATATTTATAGATCGTGTAAAAGCCTGCGGCGCGTATTTTATTTGTAAGGATTTATATTTTCTCGTTTTTAATGTTAAGGGATGCAGTTGTCCAGTCTCTGTACCCGTTACACAAGACAGTGGCTATCTGAACTTCGTAGGTCGACGCATAACGCTTTAATGTTTGAAGATAAAAGTACTAGGTTCGATGATCTACCATGTGAAAATGAAAACTAGAATGGTTGTACACCCAGAGGACCAGTCCCAAGTGGGATGAAATAGGCTATCCAGATTTCACTGCTAGTCACTATCTAACTTTAATCAAGACTTGTGAATAAACGAAAATATCGAGGCAATCCACTCAGGATGCATTCATATCAATTGTAGATCTTAACATAAACAACAGGAAAGTACAAACCCTTTAAAAGAAATTCGGAGAGTTTAATTACTAAAATAATAATTATTCAATTTACTATCGTTGTTAATTTTTTTTGGATAATTACACTTTGTTGTAAAAGATATTAATTCTTTGTCAAGTTTTGTGTCGTCACGGCAGTTCATAATGCTTTCAGCTGAAATACCCGTTTAGCGGGTTTTTTTAGCAAGGATGTTTTCTGCGGGATGGTTCCTATTAGAACTTAACAAATCACAATCACTATAGGAATACATTTAAATCTAAATGGAATAGTGTGTTTTATTTGATACTTTGTGAACAGATTTTCTTAATATCGTGTTTTATAATTTTGCATATGCAAATTACTTTTTTATTCTCATACGAACTTTTTTGACAAGAATTATAAATTTTAATTATGAATAGTGTTGCAATACTGGTTCTTTAGGCAAGTCAAATTTATTTATCTCAGTGCCCTGTATTAATTGTAACTGCTATAGAGATGTCAGTGTGATAAGTTTACGACTTGTTTTTTGTCTACGTTGGTATTATTTTACTTTTATCGATAAATTCTTTGAAACTGTTAGTGAGGTCGGTCAGCTTTTCATTACTGAATTGCGCATTCAATTTAAAACTCAGTTTTAAAGGAAACTATTGTCAACTTATTCATTGATCCAAGTGACTTTTTAGAATTGAAGTTAAGATAGAAATCACTGTATTAAACTTGTTAATATTCTTTTCAATGGTGTACAATTTATTCAGGAAATAACACATTTTTTCAACCTAATTTTCTGTCTACGCAATCAATTCACTAAATACTGAACCGTAAATTAGGAACGTGAGCTCAGTTATATGAGTAAGAAAAGTGATAATGATGATGAAGTGGCCAAATTTATCTACGTGATTACGATTTATTAATAATAAAGGACGTTTATCAACGATCACTGTCCGTAGGTATGGTATATCTTTTACACTTTCTAAGTCCAGAGTACCTTTACCTGGAAATGAACTTTTCGGCTTTGGGTATACGGATGATATTGTCTTACTTTGAGACGATATCCGAGCCATGCAGTGCGTACTCAATCAGTTGGCAGTCAGCATCTGTGGGTATGGGATTTATTTTGCACCTTCTGAGTGCAAAGTACTATTAGAAGACTGGCAGAAGCCTGTCCCTTCACTCACTGTTGTTAGTGTGCAGATAGAATTAGTGTAAAAGTTGATGTCTCTGTGTATCTGTGTAAATGCCGGTGGTGGCGTGAGTAGTGAGACCAATTCACGCATAATAGAAGTTCGTTTGTGTTATTTGACGTGTGCAGTCTTTGGTGCTTTTGTTTTGTTATCCCGGGTGTAAAGGGTTGGATCTACGACACGTGGATTAGAGTAGTTGTGCTATGTGCTTTCTAATCCTGAACTGACCGAGTTGAGGATGTTAAGTGACTCTCTATGTTTGATCATCGTTGTCTGGAAGTATTTGTAACATTCAGTGGCAACACGATTTCATTAATGTTAGAGGTTCTGGAACGTGTGTTCAGACGCAGTGAGGATAATACAATTGGTGTGAACATCTTGGAACACTGTCTTGGTTTGCTTAGATATTTAATACGAATGTCATGCCAACGAACTTCCCATGGTTGGTTATTTGCGGACACTGGGAGTTGTTGGAAAAATCAGAGAAGTGGTGAGTGTATGACATGGTGTCGTGATATTAAAAAAGTTGTATTGGGATGACTTGAATAAGCTGTTTTGTCTCAGTTGTATTGTCAATGGATCGTGCCTTAGAGAACTAACATTACCTAGATTTAAATCTACATAAAATTTAATAGCGTTTACATTATAACTTTATTTAAAAGATTTCTTCTATTTTAACTTCTGGAATTACATTCCCTAGTGTACTTCACATATTTTGAATTCCGAGTTATACGGTATCTGTTGACCGATCCTTTAAATAATGTACTAAATCAATTTGATTAGAAATGTTTTTGTGTTTACTTGTATTAAAGTAGTATGTTAAAGAAACAGACATATTTATTCATACTTTATTTGTGTTGTTGCTATCATTAGGACTTATCGCTAGTTTCATTTTTATCAAATTCTTATGGTTTTGAAATTGATTTTGATCAATGTTTTGTATTTCTAAACACATCATGTATTTAATGTGCAATACCAGTTATCAAAAGCTTGAAGATCTGTTCAAGACAGTTGACTGGATACTTAATGATAATCTTTTGCCTTTGTAGATTATCATTTTACATGTTTGTGAGCTATGTAAGATTTCGAGATCATTAGCAATGAATCTTTAGAATGTAGATCAACCTAGTTGTCGAAGTAAAAACGCTTCTCAAATTATTCATTCATGGTCACTAAACTTTTCCATAGTTTTAAAGATCTAAAGATCTATCTAAATAATTTAATTAGTAAAAACTAAAACATCGGTTCGCCACAAATAAGGGAAGTATCTGTGTTTCAATTTCTGTCACATAAAGAGAGGCTAGATTCTGGACTAATTTGATTATTGGTTACGCTGAAGAAAGATATTAAAATTTATTTCTGTTTGACCGATAGATCCGTTTATACTTCTATTTATTTAAGTGTTTACAATTCGCCTAACGACATCTGATTGTAAATCTTGTTAATTTGACATCATCAATATCGGAGTTGGCACAAGTGTGTGTTCGTTTAAGTTGTCATCAGGACAACTTAACTGGTTATAAACAAGAGAAGTGAAGTAGAGGAAACAGTATTAACAACACTTGAATTCTAAATGTGACCAGGTTCATGAAGATATAACCGTGATCGAATAAATTGAAAACCTGTGAATGGAGATTTCAAAGAAGATAGACACTGAATAAAATTGTGCTGCTCTGATAGATTTTGGACTGTGTCAATTGTATCTAACCGCTAATCTGATTGGATAAGGCTCAATCAGTCAGTCAGCTACAACGTAGGACCAGACACATATATGCATCGCACCAAGTCGTCATACCTCATTAGCACAACAACATCAACACCAAATTCATAGAAGTAGTTACTTCAATGGTAGTAATATATAAAATAAAGATTGCATATGAGGATATAGTGCAGGAAGAAAGGATTAGTTCGTAGAAAGAAAGATATAAAGCAATTTTAATCTCAAGGTTTAAAGGAAAACAAAGAGTGTATACACCTACTCCATCGTGATTGATTCTCAGCCATGTCACCCACAGTCTCCAACCATTGGTTACGATAGTCACACAGACCCTAACCAACTAGTCTGCGTTTTCCAACATGACTCGGACTAGAAGTTAGTGACTTCATTCAGACAAGTAGTTAGCGACTTTGTCCATATCATAAAAATTACGTTTCTCAAGTTATTCAGGAAATATGCTTTTTTGACAATTTGCTACTTTAAGATCAATAAGAAAGATTACAATCAGAAAAGTAAACATTGTTGATAGAGTTATACAGTTTCTGCTACATAAAATATACTCTAATCAACTTATTGTGAATAAATCTTGACTCTTTTGCCGTTATTGAAATATGATGAACTAGAAATGTAGAAAAACACTTCTTATACATTCGTACTCAGATATTAAGAAAATTTTCATTCTAGTCAAATTATATACAAACCTTCAACTTTTTTAGATTTAATTAGCTTTGTATAAACATTTCCTTCATTCACATATCTTACTTATAAACTGTTTATTTTATTCATATTTCAATATTAATCATTTATGTATGATGAAAACAACATAGGTACTACGTAGTCAACTCATCCATCAATTGAATTCACGTAATCTTGATAAACAAGCCTAACAATTATCTACGTAAGGACATTACAAAGCAGATCTACAATATTTGACTATTTTTGAAAACCCACTATTTTAATCAAAGTTTGTTTTGTGCGTGGATTTACATTAACAACAAATCATTATAATGCTTAACACTCTGCTTCTGTTACAGCTGCTTTTTGTGTTGTAGAATTATCACAGGTCACTGTTGCTGCCTCTTCTTATGAACATTCATTGTGTATTTGTCATTATTTTGCTACTATTTTTGCGCAATATGTGTCTGTGTATGTTTGTGCTTGACTTTGCAGGTTAATTTTATCTTCTATAGTATACGTTTGTCAGTTGAACACCATTTTAACTAGTCTACTTCACTCCCGGCTGTATAACTGAAAGTGAGATTGCCGTTAATCACTGAGTTGATGTTGTATTTTCACATTTTCTGATTAACCGATTTAAAGTTGTGATAATAATGAAAAGTTGGGTAATTTTAGAATATTAATTTTGTGTTCCTTGTTATTAGTAGATTTACCTTAACGTTAGGTCAATAAGTTTTAAATTTATATATACAAAGCTTGAAGTTTATATTGGATACTAGACTGTTTTGATTATGCCAGTCCAAATGTTTATCAATGTAAACTAATGCATCTGTTAGACTGATCTTTATGAATCACATATATGATGAATTCTGAAATGATGAAAATCAGAGCATAAGTGATAGCTACTTTCCAAATATTCAACAAACACACTGTAAATTTCAGTTCTCGTGAGCCAGATTATGATATTGTTTTCCATTAGTCTTTTGGTCATAAAGCTAGTATGTATACTGTATAATTAAAACTATTAGCATCTAAACAGTAGTTTTCGAGAACAATATCGAGTCAGTGGCTGAGGGGTTAGAGTTTAAGTTTAATCTTACTCCACCTATCTCGATTCCAGCATGCAAGTAGTGCTGGTGACCCTAACACACAAACTGTAGCTCTAAGCCGATTACATAAATCTTTGCTTGGCCAATGGATGATGTTTTCAATATCATTATCAGAGACATAACTGATAGTGAAATGCTGATCACTTTTAAATGTTCGTCTCGTTAAAACTACGTGAGTAGAAGCATATGACTTAACTCTAGTTTGATCTCAACTAAGCTTTTTAATTAAACAATTTTACATTGTGCACAAATTTTTTTTTTTGATGTGCTACCTGTTCTATTTATCAGCTGGTTGTTATTCGATCCTTTATTGCATTGCTTTTATCCAATATATTGATTATTTTAGTAAAATCACTTTCTCCCTATGGTATTCAAACCCTTTTCACTTACGTAAAGAGTTAATATCGTCGTCGCTAAAAACGTAGAGTTTTTTCAAGAACCATCATGAAAATACGTGCTCATATTTCTTAAGTTTGTGTCACTTTTTTTTCTAAAATTTCACTTTCATTATTTATTTAAGATCATAATTCTGTTTTTCCTGAATAACTCTTGTTCACTTTCCTTTTAAATTACCTTCTATGAACAAGATGCCCCGTATACCGTTGCTAACAGTAATCATTTTTAGTATTTCAAATGATAAGTACTTATCTCGAGCTATACTGTTAAAGAATCATGTTAGATAATTTCGTCTAATGAATGGTATGAAGTACAAAAATGCTTCATATATTGTCAGCAGCCAAAACTTACTACTCAGTCGTACATTGTGTCATAGTTTGAAAATACCAACTTTATAACTTACTGAAATGAAGTGCCTGTATTCACACTAACAATGTAGAAAGAAATTGAATGGGAGTTCTTTTTTTCTAATTCTCCTATTATCGTCATTATATTTGCCTAATTACACAATTGCTTTAATGTGCATTCATTATAAATTATATAAACTTTAATTATTAATTACCATATATATAAGTAATAATCTTTAAAATTATGTCATGTCAAATTATTAACAATATTTTGCCTATTCTTCTTTTCTAGTTTATGAGTGCAATAAAATCTGGCGTTGTTGTCAACTCACCTCTAAAGAAAGTATTATTGCTGGCGATCTCGTGGCATCGAAAGGATACGAGATCGTGCCAGGATACAACCTTGGTTACAGAAGTAACCGAATTCGCGCGAAGTACAATCAAGTGTAGAAAGAATGGAAGCACAAATAGCTGTCATTAGCACAGTCAAACAAAAGCCTTAAACAACACTGGTACAGTTGGTTATAATAATAATTTTTTTTAAACCAGTCGTGTTCTCGTGATAAACGTGAGTCACTACAGGAGCCCCCTAGAAAGGGTTACACTTTCGATAAATAGCGGTTTGATCGTGGGACTGATCGGCTGACGAGCGATTGTAGGACGGAAGAATTGCGAACAGGAAAGCGATCGTTGATCGTCGAGTTGCCAACGAAGGTCGTTTTCGGAGAACGGTACCAGGAGCGATGTGTATTTGTTGTGAGTTGGCATGCTACACCAGAGTGGTTGTTCCAGAATCTGAAGCGTCGTAGGGCGGACCAGAAACGCTGCAGACGTGACGAACCACGTTGAGAAACCAGAAGCGACCATAACGACCAAGTTCGAGACAGCGTGCAATTCGAAACAAATCGACTGAGTACGTTGACAGAGCGTGGGTGATCAGGCCAGCTTTCGCCAAAGTTGACTGAAGTCGACGGAACCAAACGGAGATGGTCGAAGGCGTGGGCTCAGGAAACAAAAAAAAAAAAAAGAGTGTAGCATGGTTAGATAGGATATCCTACACCGTATCGTTTTAACTGTGCGGCTCGTTCGCGTCGCGTGAGCCTGCAATCTCATCCGAAGTCAAGGGCGTGTGCTGGTTTGAGACGATCAATGCTGACGATCTCGACGCGCCTTCGATCAACCTTGAAGGTCTTTTCTGACGAGCGATCACGTGAAAAGGGCCTTCGTAAGGTGTTGCAAGTTTGCGTACCGAATCTACTCGTACAAAAACATGTGAACAGGTAGATAACTCTCGAGGGAGAGCGACCTGTCGATGTTGTATTCGAGTTGACACCGGAGACAGCGTTCGCATAAATGCAGACAGTCGATGGACGTAGTCTGATTTACCGAAATTAGGTCTGCTCCGTGGTGTGAAGAATTCTCCGGGCAGACGCAATGTCGTGCCGAATACAGTTCAGCGGCGGAACATTGTATATCTGCCTTCAAGCTCGTTGTGATCCCTAAAAGAACGAGCGGTAAGGTTTCGTGCCAGTTGCCGTTTTCGTGTGCTCGTATAGCACTTTTAAGTTGGCAGTGAAACCGTTTACTTAACCATTTGGTGCTGGGTGGTAGACAGATATGCTTATGCGTATGCATTCCGTACCAAGCAGCCGGGTCAGCGAGGAGAAAGTTAATAGGGGAAACTTTCTCGAATAAAGCGTGGAATTCATCGTCACGCGAATAAAAAGTAACAAGGATTCGGTACACATACATGTGAGTCTATTATATTAATACTATTCTTATCGTTATCCGTCATGTCGAGTATATTATATATTAAAAAATATGAAAATATACGACAGACGTGGATAGATAAATCATAGACTCACCGAATTGGCTTCTTTGGAAGATTTGATCAGAAGTTGAGGCGTGTTCCAAAATACGGGTCACCAATGTAGCGTGGCGTCGAGTTGAGATTAACTATGAACACCGCTACCAAGAAACACGTGCCAAATAATCAGAAGGCGTAAGAAGCTCGTTCCAAATGACTCCATAAAATCCCGAGAAGCCGAATACAGAAGGCAATTAATGGACCAAGTCGAGTTATATTTGCTGGCGATCTCGTGGCATCGAAAGGATACCGAGATCGTGCCAGGATACAACCTTGGTTACAGAAGGTAACCGAATTCGCGCGAAGTTACAATCGAAGTGTAAGTAAAGAATGGAAGCACAAAATAGCTGTCATTAGCACAGTCAAACAAAAGCACATTAAAACAAACACTGGTACAGTTGGTTATAATAATAATTGTTTTTATTAAACCAGTCGTGTTCTCGTGATAAACGTGAGTCACTACAAGTAAGTCGTACTCGAATTCCTGTTTATAGAAGTGGTGGTGGTGTTTGAAAGAAAACTGTTGTTCTGTTTAGAAACTTTCGCAATGATAATAACAATAATAAGGATAAGTGTCCCTTATCTTTACTTTTTTCAAAAGTTAACTTATTTCGCTCTGTGTTTTGTTCACTCCTAGTGTTATGTGTCTAAATGTGGTTGCCGATTGTGCTTTTTTGAAGATGTTGTTGAATCGACTACAAGAATGGTGCTATTATCATTAATGTTATTCGCCACTTTAATAATATCACAGATTTGTAGTTCGACTATCTTTTTTTCAATTTTTATTACTCTTATCTAGGTGAGCTGAGATTGTTGCAGAATGTGTGCATGTATGAGTGACTTATTTTAGTAATTGTGCATTTTTAAAGTTATAGCGTGTATAGATAAAAAACTTACTTATTTTTTGGTTTAATTTTAGCTAGTTATATTATCATTATTCAATAGAATGCAAAAATATTCTTCATTCAACACTCGGAAAACTGTTTTCTATCTCATAGTTGTATTTTTCGTCGTTATTATCATTAACTTTAGCTATTCATCACTTCCAAAACAGCATCATTTGTCCACCTACTACTGTCTATCACAGCAACCATTAGAAATTTTCACTCTTTGATCTTTTACTTGTTAAGAATTATGTTCAGTGTGTATCGATTTAGTTCACGAGTTTACTTTCTCGTTACTTTTTGTTTATATATTGCATTCTTTTTGTCAACTATGTTCGAGATTATTTACAAATTTTTGTTTGAGTATCCATACCTTGTGATAAAGTCAATACACTTATACAACCCTCCAAAGGTATACGTGTTTTATTATACAGACAATAGAACTTAAATGTATTTCGTATTCAAGACATAAGTTATCAAAGATCCGAAATCTCGTGCATATCTGACCTTCGCTGAAATTCTAGCCTCAGATTTCTGAGAACGACTTCTGAATTTGAGATATTTATTAAGGTTACCTAACAATTACTAGAATATATACTCATTGAGAACGTCTGTCAGGTAAGGCTTTACTGAGAATACGAGAGTAGATTAAAAGCATAAAATGTTTTGTGCAAAGACTTGTCTAAATGTTTACCCGCTTGTTGGACTCAACAGTTCATATGTTAAACGTTTTCCGTTTATTGATAACAATACTCAATTAAAATAAAGGAAATAGAATCTTCACTAACATTCAGTTGGGAAGAAGTTTTTAATAATTTCTGTTTATCTCAGGCCATCTTTAAAAGATAATACAGATTAGTCAAATTGGCTGCTAATCTTGAACAGAAGAATATTGTGGGATAGTGGACATTTTATCTGCTCTCTTATTGAAATAGATCTTTCAGTAAGGACAGTAATACATTATAGGACTGAACTTCTACAGGTAGGAAAAATATAACCTAGGAATGTGTTGTTAAAGCGAAAATATTAGGTAAATAAAAATGCCTACTGGGTTATCTAAATACAAATCATCTTAATACTGGCTTTCAAATAAAGCCTATTCTCGAAACACTATACGTTCAGCAGCCGCCATATACAGCTGAGATTTTAGATACGTTGAGCTTGCTTAGTACTGCATACCATCCATCCAGATTCATGATGGTGAAGAATATAACGGTTTCACTTTCCCTACTCCCTCACCTGCAAATTCATTTTATATACAATCAGTGATGAGTTCAAGGATTTCCTGAACAATATCCAAAGAAATTAAACAGACTTCAGTTCTTATGAGGTATCCAGTCTTTGGAAGGCTACTAGAATACGTGTGGATTAATGTTAATGAAGAGGGGATTACTGCAATCCATGATATGGCAAGTTATGGCGTAATCAATAGGAATGGGAATAACATCTTTCTAAAATCGTGTGTGACATGTATTCACATCATCTATGTTTATTTGTATAATATTGTAAATTTGTGTTCACACCGTAAGCTGCTGAATTATTATTAAGTACAACTCAGTTCAAACTGTATAAGTATGACTTATTCAAACTGTAAATAAATCATAGAGTGTGATGTATTCCTAAATCACTGTGACTTATTTTGAGAGTTAAATATATCCTAATAAAGAGCCTTCGTTGCTTTTATAGTGCGCTCAAGTTGTGTAAATCTAGTCTAGGGTTTTTAGTAGCGACTAGGAAATCAAGTTGAACGTTTATTTAGAAGATTTATCAGTAATAAACAATATTGGTATTGGTTACGTCTGTTGCATGTGGTCGTTGTCTGAGTGCATATATTTTGAATTATGTATAGTTAACTCTCTCAACAGTGACCCTGTAAGCAGTATTATGAGGCGAAATGAATTTTTTAATGCTCTCAGTGGTTGGTATATTTTTTTATATATGATTGTGCCACGAAGTTGTTAGGATGAAATAAAAATTGTCGACAAGTCTTTCTGATGTAAAAGACTCACACAAACAACAAAATGACCGTTTTCAGCTAGCAACTGGTTTAATCTAACGCAAAGCAGCTTAAGACTGAATATGCCACGGGTATTTCGAGCTTGACAACAATTTAGCCCGTCAGGAAAAAATCACAATATATAAAAAGTAAAATAAAGTAATGATATATGAAACCCCAAAAAGGAACACACTCATAGTTTACAAGTTGGTGATCCAGATCACATCGAGCTCACCAATAAAGATGCCACAGGTATTTGGAGTTTGATAACGCTTTAACCAGTAACGTCTACTATGAATCATGCCATCTAGTGAAATCAAAGTCGGAGGCGAGGAGGTCCGAAGATATATGTGATAGGCTGATCTAAACTGGCTAGCGGTTGCAGGAGAAGTTGAGCACGGCGTTCCCACTCGTGATCTGGTGCGGATGCGTGAATGAGCATATTTGGCTAAGTGAGTCCATTAAAACGAATGTGCTCAGCATCCAATGCCAAAGACTTACAGAGCTATTTATTTTGGGGATTTATTTATCGCTATGAAGCATATTTAGAGTGGCGTAGTTCATGATATTGGATAAAAGAGACATATGGTATGAAC